CAACCAGGTGGGTATTCAGCGCAGCAGGTGGTGTACCAGGTGGGTATTCAGAGCAGAGGGTACGGCACCTGGACGGGCATGGTGGGGGAGGTGGTCAGCCAGGTGGGTATTCAGCGCAGCAGGTGGTATACCAGGTGGGTTTTTCAGAGCAGAGGGTACGGCACCTGGACGGGCATGGTGGGGGAGGTGGTCAACCAGGTGGGTATTCAGCGCAGCAGGTGGGAGAACAGGTGGGTATTCAGAGCAGAGGGTACGGCACCTGGACGGGCATGGTGGGGGAGGTGGTCAACCAGGTGGGTATTCAGCGCAGCAGGTGGTGTACCAGGTGGGTATTCAGAGCAGAGGGTACGGCACCTGGACGGGCATGGTGGGGGAGGTGGTCAACCAGGTGGGTATTCAGAGCAGAGGTGGGAGGACAGGTGGGTATTCAGAGCAGAGATGGGAGGTCAGGGGTAGGTATTCAGAGCAGTGGATACGGCACCTGGGTCGGCAATCGGCATTGTGGGAGAGGTTGTCATCCAGGTGCGATGGACACGTTACAGCGTCACAGCGGCCCCATAACACACATCAACTTTAAGCAGACTATCCATTTCATATATGAAATGGATAGGTCACATATGAGGTCACCACCCGTGACCTCCGATAATAGGGGAAGTTGGGGCAATGCCGTAGTTGGGGCAAAGCCGAAATTCGAGATATTTCTAAAACCGTACGACATGGATGCCACGTCTCAGTGATGCTCTGAAGCTTAAGTGACTACAATTATCGCATGTTTGTTACGAGTTGTCATTTGGAATACTTCGGCTGTGAGGGCGCCAAAAGCGTTTTCAAGGTACGTTTCCCTTGTACTACATGCGCCTTTGAAGCTGCATTTCTTACTCATTATGCTACCGTTTGTCTGGCCAATTCGGTCAAGTAATCTTCAGCATGTCTTTGCATAAGTGTGCTGCCTATTTGAAATTTATACAGCACGTTTAAAAGTTATGGGCCTGCAAATGAAAGTATGGCTGGCTGGAGTAATGCCGAAAACGTGCAATTACGCACGTTAAAGCACGCTACGTGGACTTTACTGCTGTAGAATAGCAACGCGTATTTTTAGTCAAACAAATTACACTTTCAGCCGGCACAACGGCCTGTTACCTATAAGGAATGATTTACCTAGCATTTTTATTATATCACACAATTATAACTTCCAGTGTGCACCAAGCGTCCTCAAGCTCTTAAAACGCGTGTCAGCTTTGATGAATTTTGGATAAAGTTTGAGATAAATTGGCAAAACATCAATGTCAGCATTCCTCGTAGATCATTTATCCCATTTTCGGCTTTCCCCGCAGTCCGGGGCAACGCCGAAAAAGTCAGTTCTTTGATATTTTTAGTTTTTGCGCTTAACGGTATGCGAATTCATCAAATGCGCCTGGTATGTTTGAAAGACAAAAGACTGGCCTCTCGAATGACGCCAACAAGAATAGCTTATGTTGTCTACCTTGCGTGCTACGGGCGTCAGAAAACAAGTATTCGGCGTTCCCCCAACTTCCCCTACAGCCATGGTATACCATGGCTGTATTATCGGAGGTCACGGGTGGTAAGAGCCCGGGTTCGAGTCGCTCTGGCGCTCGATATTCGAGGCTCCTAATGGCCAGCAAAACATGCTAGCTAAATTCATAAAGAAACATGTGTCGCTATTTCATGTTCTTCTTTAGTCTCTCTTTTTCCCTTACGATGACTGGCAGGTATAGGTTGTGTATTTGTTGGACGTCCTCAGAAGGCGGACGCCATCCTCTCGTGGCTGATGCACCGGGAGGATCGGGCCGCCGTGATCGACTACCTGGACTGGGTGCCGGTGTTCAGCAGCGCCCAGCGCTTCTACCTGCGCTCGGGGCGGCGGGAGACGGCCAGCCTGACCAGCGAGGCGGTCAGCTCGCTGCTGCAGCCGCTGCACACCCACCTCTGGCTGCTGCTGCGTGAGTCGCACAAACACCGACAAACAGCGACAAACAGCGGCAAGCCTCGCTGCACGCGCCGTTTGGCTCCTGCTGCAGGAATCGCACTACAATCAATGAACTAAGAAAATTACGCCTCCGTGAATTGACTTCAAACTCAGTCACGTTAATTAAACATCATGACGATGACAACTTTAAATGCCTCAAAATTGAACTAATCGGTATTTGATCAATGCTATCAACTTATTGTCAATAAATCCAAAATTATGAAAAACTGCTGTTAGTAACGCCGTTCCGTTTCCTGTGCTGAGCATCCTGGTGCTGTTGGTGATTTACCGTTCATGTTCTGCAGTGCTGAGTATCCTGGTGCTGTTGGTGATTTACCGTTCCTTTTCTGCAGTGCTGAGTATCCTGGTGCTGTTGGTGATTTACCGTTCATGTTCTGCAGTGCTGAGTATCCTGGTGCTGTTGGTGATTTACCGTTCATGTTCTGCAGTGCTGAGTATGCTGGTGCTGTCTGTGGGCCTGACGCTGACGGTCCGTCTCAATCGGGGCCGCGGGGAGACGGAGAGCACGTGCCGCCAGTTCTCTCTGGGCTCCAGCGTCCTGGCCATCTTCATGACCGTCACCGGCCAGGGCTGGTCCGTTCTGCCGGCCTGCCTCTCGGCACGGACCGTCACCGTCTCCAGTTGGGTCCTGGGTCAGTCCGAGAACCGTAGTGTCCTCCCTCACGGTGTTCAGCTGGACTGTCTCTGGGTTCGTGTCCTAGGCTACGATATACAGCTACAAAATGGCGCGGTATGCGGCGGCAGTTTCTAGCACTGACCAGCGCGGCGCTGCGCCCCTGGACACAAAGGCACTTAGGGTGCGTTACCTTCGCCCCAGTGGGGGGGGGCATATGTTACCACCCTGTCGCGTTTTTTGCGTGTGAATAAAAAACCGCGGCGCGTAGCGCCGCGCCAATTGGGGTAGCTTTTGGTACATCAATTTTGGACAATGTGTGAAATTTTTGACCCCAGGTCATGTCAGGTCAGGTCACCAGGTCAAGTTAACTGACCAAGCCTAAAAAAAAGTTTGCAATCATGTCCAGCCTGCAGTGTTTGTCAAAAAGGTTTGAAACGTGGTGGATTGCATGCTGTTATGGGCGCCTACAATTTGTATATCTCGGATTTTTGATATCCGTGACCTAAGGTCAGGTCAGTGGCGTGACCTTTCCATTACAAGTCAATGGAGAAAAATGAAAATGCCTCTAGATCCGTGTGTACACATCGGAACAGTCCAAATATCTCAGAATCACAATGATTTAGTTCACTCGTGATGACCAAGGTGTCATTTTTGCTGATAGCCTCTAGACAGGTCATCCGAGGTCACTTGAGGCTACAAACAGTTTTTTGCCAATAACTCGCGATTGGAAAGAGATAGAACGCTGGGGATGGTCTTATTGTGTTTGTCTTGTTGAGACGCATCGACTGACATGCAACATGACCTTTTCCGGTAAGGTCATGACCTTGACCTGAGGTCAATTTTTCAAGTTGACCTTTCAAGGTCAAATTATAGTTCATTTAACGCGTCTCGGCGAGGGGAACACGATTCTGGCAATAGAAATGTCGTGGCTTTTTGTAGTCGAAAGTTATTGTCGAAAAACACTTTTCGTAAAAACAGCTATTTTTGGAGTTTTTGCCCTCTGGAGGCTAAACCGTTGACCTGAGGTCAATATTGATAATGACCTTTTCAAAAGAAGAGTTTAAAAGCTATCGTTTGCTCTTCCATGCGTTTTTCTAGCTACCATAGTTCCTGAGATAGCGGCATGTTTTCTGAAAAATATAATGACAATTGGCAAAATTTGACCTTTGATGACCTCTGGTGACCACAATATTGCTCTAAGGTAAAAAATGACCGAAATACTTTCAAACGTACGCATTGAGAGCTATCGACTGCTTTTTACTGCGTCTTTCTAGCCCTCTTAGTTTTTGAGTTAGAGGTGGGTGGTAACATATGCCCCCCCCCCCTCACTAGGGCGAAGTTGGCTGAGACCGCCACTGGGGCGCGGGTTAACCCGCGCCCTGCTGGGGTCCTGGATTTCCACGCCCTGCTGGGGGGGGGTGTTTGAACACCCCCCTTGTAACTCGGCTCCTGGGCCACGTAGCGATACGCGGAAGGCGGCGTTCGAAAGAGCGTCAAAAATAATGACGAAATCACTTCGGTCAATTTTTTGGTCAGGTCAAAGGTCAGGTCACCAGAGGTCATTGAAGGCAAAATTTCGCCGATTTCCAGGTCGAATGTCGAAAATTTCCAAGATGCCAACGCATAACTCGGGAACCAATAGAGCTACAGCGCCGCGGAAAAGCGCATTCGATAGCCCTATTAACGCCCTTTCTGAGTAATTCCCTCAGATTTGACCTAACTGTAGTGTCCACCACCGTCTCCGGGTTCCGATGTATTCTCACAAACTCGCGGTGCAAAAACACTAAAGCACTGTCGTGCTGTGCGGCCGGGCGGAGCCTCTCGACTGCTGGCTCTGACTGGAGCCGAGCAGGGTGCGGCCGCCTCACACTCGTATTACCGGGGGCCCGATGCCGAGCCTCGGACACCCGATGCACTAGGTACTCGATACACTACACATTCCCCCCTCTCGCAAAAAAAAGGAACAGCATCACTGCGACACGTAGTAGTCCGGTCGTCTACAGACACGGTCGCTTCGCCTGGGACGCTGCACGCTCACATCGGCGGCGTCCGGCGACGGCTCGCAAGCTGTCTCGGTCGACGGGCGAGAAGCAGCGGCGAGCGAGGTCAGCGGGCCAGCGGCGTCGGCCTCGGAAGTCGTGGCGGTCGACGTGGTCTCGCCGGGCCCAGCGGGGGGAGATGCGGAGGGAGACGCCGGCGCGTATGGGAGACGGGCCAGATGGGCGGCGTTCCAGGTCCGGCCGTCAGCCAGACGGTACGTTGCGGGACCGACGCGCCCAGTGACTCGCACCGGAGACGTGAACCGACAGGACGTCTTCGAGCGGTGTCCCTGCCGTCTCACGCAGACGTAGTCGCCCTCAGTGATGCGCGGCGTCGTCACGCCACGGCGGCGGTCGTAGGACCTCTTGTTGGACTGCTGTCGGCGTCGAACTCGAGACGCCACACTGTCGGCTCCTGGTGTTGACGGCTGAATGACAGGCAGGTTCAGCCTCATCTGTCGTCCATGCAGGAGCTCTGACGGTGACTTCCCAGTTGTCGTGTGTGGGGTGGCTCGATACACCGCCAGGCTCTTGCGTACCTCGTCAATGAACGCTGCTGGTGGACAGTCTGTGATCCACGACTTGAACGTTTTGTTGAAGCGCTCTACGGCGGAGTTGCCTCTAGGCCAGTAGACGGACGATTTGGTGTGCTTCACCCCTCGGGCGGTCAGGTACGCAGTGAACTCCCTGCTCGTGAACTGGGGCCCATTGTCCGTCACGATCTCGTCGGGATAGCCCTCTTTGGCCCACACAGTTGACAAGAACTTGATGACGTCTTCAGTCTCAGTCGATGACGTCAGGCAGACTTCCGCCCATTTGCTTCTGTAGTCAATCAGAGTGATGGCGTAACGGGCAGTCGCTGGTGCTCCGTTGATTGGACCAACGATATCCATCCCCAGTTTCGACCAGGCGCGGTCCGGCAGGTCGACTGGCTGCATGGGCGCAGGGCGTGCGCGCTGGGAGAGGACTGCGTCGCTGTGCTGGCAGCGCTCGCAACTTCGGCACAGCTCCTCCACCTCACGGTTGATGCCGGGCCACCACGCCAGATTCCGCAGCGCCTGTTTCATGCGGACGATTCCGTCGTGCGCGCTGTGCGCCAGCTCCAGGTATCTGCGGCGGAGCTGAACGGGCACAACAACTTGTTGGGCTCCTCTCAGGATGACGTCGTCGTTGCGCACCCACAACTCGTGTCTCATCTTGAAGTACGGCTGGACTTCAACCGGGCAGGCCTTGGCGCTGCTCGGCCAGCCGCGCTTGATCTGATGACGCAGCTGCTGCAGCTCAGGATCAGCAGCTGCCGCGGTGCGGACGTCTTGCTCGGTCAGCACGCTCTCTTCATCTGTCAGAAGAGCGATCACCTCTTCTTCAGCGGAGCTGTCTTCATGCAGGTCCGCTTCTTCGGGGTGGCCACGGACCATTGTCAGTGAGCATATCTCGCCAGGGTCGGGCTGAGACGGTGGCGGTTCCGGGACTTCTGCGCTCCCAGTGACCGCCAGCTGATCGATTGCCCCACTCGCGGGGTGCAGGTTTACGTCCAACTGCTTCAGCAGGTCCAGTCCCATGACGGCTTCTTCACCGTCGGAATCTATGATGAAGAACTCTGTGTTGGCTCGCCGTCCACGGTAGGTCACCAGCGCTGGCAGCGTGCCAAGTACTTGAAGCTGGTGTCGACCAAAACCGAACAGACGAGCAGACGTTCTATTGAGATGACTGCCTTTGAAGAGACGTCTGGCGATGCCGAGTCCTAAAGCGGACACCGTGGCACCCGTGTCAACTTGCAGATTCACGGTCTGCGTGATACCTGGTACCTCCATCTGTACTTCGCACATCATCTTATCAGTATTTGGTACGGCGCAGCAGAGAACAGTCAGCTCGTGACACCTTCTGTCGTCGTTCCGTTCACCAGACCAGCAGACCACGGCAAAGTGACCCGTCCGCCCACACTGCCTGCACGTGGCCCCGGTAGCGGGACACCGACCGCGCTCATTGTGCTGGCGCCGACCGCAGCTGGGGCACGTGTCCGGTCGCAGCTGGGCAGGTCCGGGGCGACGGTCGGCTTGCAACTGGGCAGGGGCGGGGCGGCGGTCGTCTTGCCGCCGGGCGGGTCGCCAGGGCCGGCGCCCGCGGCGCTGACGAGCGTCAGATATCTGATGCAGTGACTGCGCTCCGTCGGCGGCGGGCCGCGCCGGCCCGGCCATGGCGGTCGCCTCGCGTCGGGATCGCTCGAATGCCTCGGCGATCTCCAGAACGCGGTCCAGGGTCAGGCCCTTATCCTGCAGAAAACGCTCGCGGAGAATCGGATGCGCTGTTGCTTCCACGACTTGGTCACGTATCATGGCGTCTGTCATTTGTCCAAACGAGCAGTTTACTGCCAGGCGGCGCAGCGCCGCCACGTAGTCGGCCGTCGGCTCGTGCGACTCTTGCCGTCGCTGCCGGAAGAAGAACCGCTCCGCGATCACGTTGACCTGAGGTTCATAAAACTCGGCGAGCTGCCGCTCAGCCGAATGGAACTCGTCTTCGTCTTCTCTCCTCGGCTGGACCGGTAGGGTACGGTACACCCGTTGCGCCTCGGCGCCGACACAGTGCAGAAGGAGAGCCGTCTTCCTCTCCGTGCTGTAGGCCTCACCTCCCAGGGCAGTCAGGTAGTTGTGGAAACTGAAAATCCAGTCACTCCAGGGCAGTGCTGGTTTTCCTGGTCTCGCCAGGAACGGAGTTGGCGGCGACACCCCCTCGACGTTCATCGTCGGTAGTATTCAGGATCTCGTCCTCGTCGCCAGATGTAGTGTCCACCGCCGTCTCCGGGTTCCGATGTATTCTCACAAACTCGCGGTGCAAAACACTAAGGCACTGTCGTGCTGTGCGGCCGGGCGGAGCCTCTCGACTGCTGGCTCTGACTGGAGCCGAGCAGGGTGCGGCCGCCTCACACTCGTATTACCGGGGGCCCGATGCCGAGCCTCGGACACCCGATGCACTAGGTACTCGATACACTACACTAACGTCAACGGTTTTGCCTGCAGGGGGCAAAAACTGCAAAAATAGCCGATTTTTTCGAAAACAGTTTTTCTGCAATAACTTTTGACCCAAGCCTTGTACGAGCTTACTTTTACCGGCATCGTGTTCCTCTCGTCAAGACGCATCGAATGAACTATGACTTGACCTTGAAAGGTCAACTTGAAAATTTGACCTCAGGTCAAGGTCATGACCTGACCGGAAAGGGTCATGTTGCATATCAGTCGATCCGTATCGTCGAGCTGAACACATCTAAGGCATTTTCACCGCTCTAGCATGCCTCTATCAAAAGTTATTTGCGAAAAACTGTTAGATACCATTCGTGACCTAAGATGACCTCAGGGCATAAACAAGGGTGGTCACGGACACCATTTTCAAGTTCCGTGTGTCTAAACCACTTGTAATTCGGTGTTTGGGAGTGTTTATAATGTCTTTCATCCAAAAGAGGCGCATTTCAATTTTCTCCCATTGACTTATAATGGGGAGGTCGCAAAATTGACCTGACCTTAGGTCATCGATATCAAAATTCTGAGATATACATTTTGTACATGCTATTGCTCTCAGCAATCGCTGAAAGTTTCAAAGCGATCGGTCACTCGGTGTAGCTATGACAGACATTGAAAGTTTTTATGAGGTGAGGTCACTTCAAGTGACCTGGTGACCTGACCTTGAATGACCTTGGTCTGAAATTTTCACAACATGTGTAGAATTGATGTATGATAAGGTGTACCAAAAACGGCGGCGCTCCGCGCCGCCGTTTTTGAGATATTCGCGAAAAACCACAAGGGAGGGTGTTCAAACACCCCCCCCAGCAGGGCGCGGGTTAATGGCACTGCTTCACTGACAATCTGAGCCGTCAGTAGAAGCATAGCATAGCTGCCGCTTGAGCGATTCCCAAATCATTGCGGCTATCCCCGTGTTCGGCCGCAAACGATGGGCACTGTGCGAAGGCCAGCCATTGATTTAACCCGCGCACCGACGGGGGGGGGCGGATATCCGCCCCCCCCTGAGGTTTTTCGCAAATAGCGGGAAAACCGAGGCGCGTAGTGCCGCGAAATTTGGTACGACTATTCCCTCATCAATTTTACACATGGTGTGCAGGTTTGAACCTCCTACCTTTCAAGGTCAGGTCACCAGGTCACTTTGAATGACCCAACCTCAAGTCACTTTTTTGCAACTTTGTCACCGTGCCAGAGCTACAGTAGATGTCGGAGACCTTTGAAAGTCGCATGATGTTATTAGGTCATTAGTAGCTACAATTTGTTTATCTCGGAATTTTGATATCGGTGACCTAAGGTCAGGTCAATTTCGCGACCTCCCCATTAGGTATAAGTCAATGGGGGAAAAATCAACTCCCTGTTTTTACCACTAAAACGGGTCGGAATGGCCCCATATACCATACATGACTTCATATACGATCAACCTTCACTACCTTGAGGTCTGTTTTGCTGTTGGGCAGCTGTGAGGTCATGTGACGTCATCAAAGGTCACCAAAGGTTTTTGGCCAATAACTCCGTACAGGAACAAGATACAGACGCGTGGATGGTCTCATTGTGTTCAGCTCGTCAAGACGCATCGAATGATATACATGATGACCTCGAGGTCACGTGACCTGAGGTCAACCTTTGACCTTGACCTTTCGAGGTCAACATACATATCATTCGATGCGGATTGACGGAAGGATCACGATGATGCCCTTCGTTTGTTCCTATCTTGACTAATTCGAAAGTTATTCGAGAAAAACTCCTCTCCATATCTAGCGCCGCCATTTTGACTTTTTCGACCCCTGTGACGTCATCTTTGACCTGACCTGAAAATGACCTTAGTAAAAATTGTAGATCTTGACCGTGCGTATCCGATGCCGTTTACCGCTTGTCGCTATCTTGCTTCGTTCTCGAGATCTCAGGGGGCGGTCATCCGCCCCCCCCCCCCTTGTCGGTGCGAAGTTGGCGCAGAAGTCGGTGCGCGGGTTAAAGGTAGTGTGCCACCTTGGAAAGATTTCCCGTTTTATTTTTCCTAGGATAAGAAGCTTCTGTTTTTACCTAATATCGCAAAAAAAATCAAAAATGGGCCTGGAATAGTGCCTTTTTCGCCTAAAAGTTTATCGGTTTTTAGATATGTATAACAACTGTAGTGGGCTCACCTGCAAACAGGCGTCGGGCAACAATCGCGAATGCGGCGCACTTGTGACAATAAGCAAAGGTCATTATAGTGTTACGACCATACGACGTACGGGAATGAGTTATCAGCTGTCTAATCGTAGACAACACAATGTCGAGCCTTAGACTGTAAGCCTGTATTGGTATTGTTTCTTAAATTTGGCTGTCGAACATTAATTTGTGGTTTGAAATATGATTTTATGTAAAATAATTGATATGAAACAGCCGTCTCTTAAGTTATGACCCCATTACACCACACGCAAGTGGCAGAAATGACAATGATCAGCTGACGCATTTTTCTTGGCCGAAGTCAGAGCGCGCGGCCCGACGCACCACGCGTATTTGGAAATTCCGACCTCGACGAGCATCAGAAGCCACCCAACAGGCGTGTTCGAAACCGCAGGAGATGATGATGAACGGGTTTATCGAAACTTGATTGGATGAGCCTATCGGTAATAGCAATTTTAGTGTGTGCATTTATTGTTCATAGTGGTGTGAAATGTGGTTGGGGTACGACCGACAACCCGTCGGGGCGAATTTCGCACTGGGGTACTCAAAATTTGAAGAATTTAAGACGTTTCCATAAGTTTTGAAGGTATGGATAAGTTCTAAAAATCCGGTTCTCCTTATCCGGGTCATTAACTCCATATGGTCCAAGAAAGCTGGCACACTACCTTTAAGCATGATAAATTATTTAACGCAGCCGCCATGCAAGACCTGTCTGTGCTGAACTGACGTGTTTCGTCTTACACCAATCAATGTCGACCTCATGAATGGCGTCATGTGATCGTGCCCTGTAACACATGCTCTACACGAATCACGTGTTACAACAATGCGTGTTTTTCCGACCGCAAATAAAAACTGTTTTTAATTTACATGGGGAGCAGGAGGTTTAATTTACCTGATTGAAACACTTTTTCTCAATCGACATACATAATCAATTGGCATCAAAGCACCGACTTGCACTCAAAAGCGTACTCAACTGAGGCGTGCTGTCTCCTCTCTCTCTCTCTCTCTCTCTCTCTCTCTCTCTCTCTCTCTCTCTCTCTCTCTCTCTCTCTCTCTCTCTCTCTCTCTCTCTCTCTCTCTCTCTCTCTTTCTCTTTCTCTCTCTCTCTCTCTCTCTCTCCTCTCACTCTCTCTCCCTCTCTCTCTCTCTCTCTCTCTCTCTCTCTCTCTCTCTCTCTCTCTCTCTCTCTCTCTCTCTCTCTCTCTCTCTCTCTCCCTGTCTCAGGTATTTTGATCAGTATCAACTACACGGCCAACCTGATGTCCTACCTAACCGTTAGTCGGCCGGAAGCTCCCATCAGCAGCTTGGAGGAGTTTATTGCTAACGAGGACTGGACGCTGGTAATGGAGGAAGGCTACGGCAGTGTTGGAGATTGGGCAGTAAGTCGCAGATACTTTGTGAATCAGACAGATAGTAGTGGTTAAACGGTCCAATATGGTGTTATTTTCTTGTTATCTGTTAGTGGCAGCGCTCTGGTTATCCGTGCATTCTACAAGCGTAACTTTACTCTGATGTGTTGTATAAGAATTGACTTCACAATACCACATTTGACTTCATTTGGACTCGGCTTTGACCTCAGACCTGAGACCAATGTTATTTGTTATAGAAAAACATTAAGCCTCAGTGCGTTTTATTTCTGATTCTGAGCTGAGCAGCCAAAAGGGAGCAGAAGAACGCATTTATGTACTTTGACATGCGTGGTTACCAGGGGCTCTTTTATTTGGCTCGATTTTTATTTGCAGCCAATGGCTCGATATTATTATGGCCCCTGGACTCTGACCTGACCTGACCTGATGTTTGACCAATGACCCTGCCCGCAGCGCAACAGTACGCCGGCCCGGCGCGACCTCTACCGTCTGATCACAGAACGGAGCCGCTTCGCGCCCCTCGACGGCACGGTGGAAAACATGCTCCGCGCCACCCAGCCGCGCACGTTGGTGCTCTATGATCTGAAGCTCATTTTCCACCGTGTCGGATCGGAGGCGTGTCGGCTCGTTCAGCTGCCGAGCGAGGAGCTGCCCGAGGAGTGGACGGTGCCGGAGTACCTGGTGCTCAGGAAGGGCCTCGGACACCTCCGGGACAGGATGAACCACGTGTGAGTGGGGGACTAGGGGGGGGGGGGTAGGGGGGAGAGTTAGAATCACGACGACATCGAACGCTCTACGGGCAAAGGGGCCGATTTTTTGCAATAGTATGTAGAATTCTATATCGTGAATTTTATGTATTATATGTATATGTACAATAACACGGAACAAAAATGATAGACGAACGCGTTTCGGCTAAATCGCCGTCACCAGCGTCTAAAAGGAGAAAAAAGTTCTCCTTTTAGACGCTGATGACGGCGATTTAGCCGAAACGCGTTCGTCTATCATTTTTGTTCCGTGTTATTATACTTGTCTCAGCTGAAATACAATGTATATGTACTTACACATAGCAGCATATCGAAAAATTTTAATTGACTTGAGTGACTACGTGGGCGATGTATTATAAAAATAATTTACTTTATTACATTTTTCTCTGTTAACCTCACCAGTCGCCACCCATGTCATTGATGAGTTAATGCCTTTGCCCTTTCCCTCACTGCGTGCTGTCAGTCTGCTGCGACTGTCTCTGAGCGTCTATCATGACAGTGCTATGACCGGTACCCGGCGGTACCTCCCTCCCCACATCGTGTGTCCACAGTCTGCAGCGTCTGCTGCAGTCCGGCGCCGTGGACCGCCTGCGGCGCCGCTGGTTCGGCCACGGCCGCCGCCTCTGCGCCGCCGTGGCCGCCGTGCGGCCGCTGACGCTGGCCGACCTGGCCGCCGTGCTGGCCGTCACGCCGCTGGCCGCCGCCGCCGGCTGCCTGCTGCTGGGCGGGGAGCTGCTGGTCAGGCGGCTCAGCAGACGGCGGGACCAGCAGCGGCGGCAGGGGACCGCGGACAGCGCCGCCAGAGGGAGGGCCGGGGCTGCAGCCGGCGCCGCCCGAGCCAGGAGAGCGCGCAGTCTGCCCTCCATCTTCAGCTGCTGTGAGAGGCAGCTCAACACCAAATGCTGAGGCCGAGCACAGAGCGCCGGCCCAGTGGTGACCTCAGCACCAGTGTTAGTCTTCACAATGTGAGCGTTATCTTAGCGCACCGGTTCTGTTATTGAGACGGAGATAAAGATGTATCGATGATTAATTGTTTATGCACATTTGAGCAGGCCATCTACTTGTGGCATGAATACAATAGACGCACCACCTATATTTTTTAACCCGCGCCCGGCTGGGGGTCCTGGATTTCCACGCCCTGCTGGGGGGGGGTTTGAACACCCCCCCTTCTAACTCGGCTCCTGGGCCACGTAGCGATACGCGGAAGGCGGCGTTCGAAAGAGTGCCAAAAATAATGACGAAATCACTTCGGTCACTTTTTTGGTCAGGTCAAAGGTCAGGTCACCAGAGGTCATTAAAGGCAAAATTTCGCCGATTTTCAGGTCGAATGTCGACAATTTCCAGGAAGCCAACGCATAACTCGGGAACCAAAGCGCCGCGAGCTAAAGCGCCGCGGAAAAGCGCATTCGATAGCCCTATTAACGCCCTTTCTGAATAATTCTCTCAGATTTGACCTAACGTCAACGGTTTTGCCTGCAGGGGGCAAAAACTGCAAAAATAGCCGATTTTTTCGGAAACAGTTTTTCTGCAATAATTTTTGACCCAAGCCTTGTACGAGCTTACTTTTACCGGCATCGTGTTCCTCTCGTCAAGACGCATCGAATGAACTATAACTTGACCTTGAAAGGTCAACTTGAAAATTTGACCTCAGGTCAAGGTCATGACCTGACCGGAAAAGGTCGTTTTCCATATCAGTCGATCCGTATCGTCGAGCTGAACACATCTAAGGCGTTTTCACCGCTCTAGCATGCCTCTATCAAAAGCTATTTGCGAAAAACTGTTAGACACCATTCGTGACCTGAGATGACCTCAGGGGCATAAATAGGGGTCATGGACACCATTTTCATGTTCAGTGTGCTTAAACCACTTGTAATTCCATGTTTGGGAGTGTTTACCATGTCTTTTGTCGAAAAGAGGCGCATTTCAATTTTCTCCCATTGACTTATAATGGGGAGGTCGCAAAATTGACCTGACCTTAGGTCACCGATATCAAAATTCTGAGATATACATTTTATAGATACTGTTACCCTTATCAAGCGCTGAAAGTTTCAAAGCGATCGGTCACTTGGTGTAGCAATGGCAGACATTGAAACTTTTTATGAGGTGAGGTCACTTCAAGTGACCTGGTGACCTGACCTTGAATGACCTTGGCCTGAAATTTTCACAACATGTGTAGAATTGATGCGTAATAAGGTGTACCAAAAACGGCGGCGCGGAGCGCCGCCGTTTTTGAGATATTTGCGAAAAACCACAAAGGGGGTGTTCACACACCCCCCCCCCCCCCCCAGCAGGGCGCGGCTTAAGTAGCTTGCCAATCGCCCTCATTTTGCTGTAAACGCCGCTTATCTTTTGTGATGAATGCCATCTGTGCACTTGTGGTTGTAATTCAATGCTGAGAAACGTACAATGCTTAGAATTCTGAAAATGTTTTTTGCATTTTGATCATTCTGTAAAGAAATGAAACTTATATAAGTAGCTCAGTTATGTTACAACAAGCAAATAAACTTTATTTACACTATTATTTAGTTTTGCCATATTGGATCACCCCCGTGAACCAGCATCTAAACAGACGAAAGGATGTGATTTTCAGGTATATTTGTTATCAGACGAAAATAATGATGAGTTAGGCAATCACCTAAGGACATAAAAACTATGAAGCACGGTCATAGATACTATACTATGCTATGAAGGTACAGACCCCGTCAGTAGCACCCCTTTCGCCGCTTCAATAGCCGTGGTCAGTTGGCCACCAGGTGTCGGGGCAATCGACCTAGGGGGCAGGGCGACCCCGTTCAATCACAATGTCTCTGCAACCAGTGTTTTACATTTTCTTCTCTCACATGTTATGCATGTAATACAAACTAATCGGTCGACTCAAGCATCACAAAAAGTGTCCGTCTTCAGTTTGCCCCTACCACTCCCTACCCCGGACGCTGTCGCAGACCTCCCCCTCCCCCAGAGCCCCCTGCCGCCGCTGCTGGTCCCGCCGTCTGCTCAGCCGCCTGACCAGCAGCTCCACGCCCAGCAGCAGGCAGCCGGCGGCGGCGGCCAGCGGCGTGACCGCCAGCACGGCGGCCAGGTCGGCCAGCGTCAGCGGCCGCACGGCGGCCACGGCGGCGCAGAGGCGGCGGCCGTGGCCGAACCAGCGGCGCCGCAGGCGGTCCACGGCGCCGGACTGCAGCAGACGCTGCAGACTGTGGACACACGATGTGGGGAGAGACGTCACTGCTGGCATATCAATTACGTGGTTGGCGACACGTGTTTAACAACGTGTTTAACAGCGTGTTTAACGTGTAAACAACGTGTTTAACATGTAGTTTATCTTCATTACTTAGTCCGCAGTTACCTGGGCGTTACGCTGTGTGATGAGCCTTTTGGTATGCGTCGATAAATGCATTTTACTTTGGTTGTAAGCGTGAAGTACGTTTCATCATTCATGTTCTAGTTCAAACATCACAATAGAGACACAAATCCAAAACCTTGAGATGAGACTGGAGTCGATGAAGAGATGGTTGTCCATCCAATAGGCCTCAGTCAAAACGGTTCGACACCCCGGTTGCCTAAAATATGAAAATCATAGCGCTACCCTAATTCATGAGCTTGCTGCAACAGAGAAAATATTTGATACAACATAATGCTCACGGCCCATATGCCTAGACTATTTTATGGTTATATGATGATTTTTAGAGCCAATGATGCATTTTGTACATGCAGTCGCACCTTGCAATACTTATCGTACTCACTAAACTGGGTGTTTGCAAAGTTACTGCATTGTAGCTTTGCGTGCCATCTGCTGTTTGGAATGCCAGCAAACGTGCTATGAACCTAACACCGATCAGCTAGGCCACTTTGATATGGCGGAGCCGACAGTACCATCGCATACCACTCGTTTCGTAAAGGTCTCATTGCAATTTTAAGCTTCGTGTATAAACAAGATAGAATCGGCCGTGCGGGAAAGCGCAGTCGTTAACTTTACAGCGCCGGATTATTATTTGGCAGTTTTATAGCTTGAGCGCAATGTCGTTTCGCAGACTTAGCTAGTAAACAATGCGCTGAGTGTCATTTCATTGTACGGTGCCCTGGCCAATGGTCGCCTCAGTGGGGTCGGGGAGGGGGCAGGGGGAGGGGTTTGATTGTGTCCCAAGGCCAGGTCCCAGGACCAACAATCTGTGCTAATGGATGTGGTGCGGGTCTGTTTGGAAGAGCGGCTTTCATTGTCATGTCATTTGAAATTGATTTGCTCTTTCAACCCTGATAGGTATATAGTGATTGTGAAATTTAATAAACCAATTTATATGTTAAATTCGTATGCAAGTTGCAATAAAAATGAATCAGTGCTCTGTTTTAGGTTTATCGCCAATCTATCATTAATTAGCGATTTATCTGAAGATTGCTTCACACCGTCTTAACCCTATTCCTGGCGGGGGCGGGCCTCAGGAGCCCCCCCCCCCCTGAGGTTTTTTGGTTATTTCTCCCAAACGCGTTGAGCTAGGAAGCTCAAATTTTCTGACTTTTCCTAAAAGGCTTCTACGCAACATGTCTGAAAATTTTGAGTTGATCTGACCTCAGGTCAGGTCACCAGAGGCGGTTTGGTGACCCTACCTCAGAAAAGTTTGCAATCACGCCAGAGCTAGAGTTTTTGACCGATCAATTTCTTCTCTTCAGGCTTTAGTTAGGGTACCAGTATGTGCAATTTGTATATCTCGGAATTTTGATATCGGTGACCTAAGGTCAGGTCAATTTCGCGACCTCCCCATTATAAGTCAATGGGGGAAAAATCAACTCCCTGTTTTTACCACTAAAACGGGTCGGAATGGCCCCATATACCATACATGACTTCATATACGATCAACCTTCACTACCTTGAGGTCTGTTTTGCTGTTGGGCAGCTGTGAGGTCATGTGACGTCATCAAAGGTCACCAAAGGTTTTTGGCCAATAACTCCGTACAGGAACAAGATACAGACGCGTGGATGGTCTCATTGTGTTCAGCTCGTCAAGACGCATCGAATGATATACATGATGACCTCGAGGTCACGTGACCTGAGGTCAACCTTTGACCTTGACCTTTCGAGGTCAACATACAGGGTGTCCCATAAGTTCGTTCTCACATTTTATTTGCATGTGAAACAGAGTACTTTGCGTTTTGATATATTTATGACCCCTCAATGTGCTCCCCATTTAATAGGCAAACACATGAACACATGCTGCGGCATGCCAACCGGCATGTTTGGCTGCATAGCAGGCTTAAAGTTAACCCAGACTGACTTGACATGCGCCGTGAGCTCCTCGAGGCTGGAACAGCGCTACGCTTCGACGAGCCTAAATTTCAGCATAACCAACAATTTTTTATGAAATTTTGATCCGATGAGGTGCCTGGCATGTGGTCTTGCCACAAACGCCTGTCACAGTCTCCTTCCACCGCTTTTAAGCTTTGCTCGGCCTGTGCACTGATGCACTGTCTTGCCTGAAGATGGGCCTACGACCTCTCGGATGCCATTTTCTCCTCTATAAATGTGTTCATACTCGCGGTTCGAGTTCCGCTTGAGGGCTGAAACTCCTCCTAGATTTTCTTGGAAAAGCATTATGCTTCCCTAAGCTGTTTCTGGGACACCAATCGCAACCTGGTCAGCGTCTGGACGCCTATAACCCCACAATACCGTGATCTTGGCCTTTCGCATAGGAACATAACGGGACGAAACGGAGGCCTCCTCCTTCGCCCTTATGGGGTTGTTTTCGGGTTTGGACGGGTGTTTCATCTCGAACGTGGACTAGTTAGTCCAGATGACCTGGTTGATGTCCTCAACCCTTTAGTTTTTTTAGCCTCAGGCATAACGAAACTCATGTTTGGCCATTTTAAGACGTTTTTGACTGTTTTGAGCCCTCCGGTAAGCAAAGCTTAAGTCACCTTGAGTTATGTACCCCGTAAGAACAATTTTAGACAGCTGGTAATCCATCCTGAAAAGTCTGCTTACCATCTTTCTAACCCTTTGACCTTTTTGATGGCCACTTTGGCGCCACACAGTTTTGGCCACATGACTCACTCCTGAGAGCTGACAAAAAAGAGGATAAACTTGCAATGATTGACTCCCGACAAATCATCGGTGTCACTTGCTGACTGTGCGTCCAGTTAGCGATGGACATTGTCTACAGACTGGTAGCCTCAATCACCCTCAATCGTCGCGAATGGTCACGTGCTGACTAAATACCGAGACGTACCCGTATTGGAGACCTCTATGTTGCGGCGTTAGCCGTCTGTGTAGGAAACGGGCTCTCTAGCAAAAACTATTTTGTCTACAGAAATTAGTTACTGTGGAGCATATTTCTACCAGCCATGGCAACCACGTAAGCTCAGTAACGAACCAATTTCAGCGTGTCTTTAAGCAAGAGAGCCTAAAAACGTAAAATTTAGGTGAGAACGAACTTATGGGACACCCTGTATATATCATTCGATGCGGATTGACGAGAGGATCACGATGATGCACTTACTATGGACGTCAAACCCCTTGAGACCCCACTTTTTTGCGATAATTCTTAAATGCGTCAACTCTCGTTGACAATATTCTGGCAATGTGTGTTTCAGAACCTGCCGAAACTTTTATTACTAAGGTATTTTGACGCCAAACGATTATGAAAGGTACTTCTCATTCACTCGTAATGTTAAATTTCACGGACCGAATCTGCTGTTTGGGTAGAGGCTACGCGCTCATGGGGCGGAGCCACGTAATGACGTCAGCGCTAAGCTCCGCCCTACCCCTCCGGCGCTCCTTGCCCGGCGACCGGTCACTCGCGTCTCTCGCTCCATTCAGGCTTGATGGTGGGCGGTGGCTGGTAGCGGTAGCGGGCGCTGGTAGATGACATTAAGAGCAGATGGCGCTGGTGGCGGGGCTCGAGTGTGGCCGAGCGCAAGCCTCTTCCCGGGCCTGAATTGACCTTAGCATTACGAGTGAATGAGAAGTACCTTTCATAATCGTTTGGCGTCAAAATACCTTAGAAATAAAAGTTTCGGCAGGTTCTGAAACACACATTGCCTGAATATTGTCAACGAGAGTTGACGCATTTAAAAGTTATCGCAAAAAAGTGGGGTCTCAAGGAGTTTGACGTCCATAGTAGTTTGTTCCTATCTTGACTAATTCGAAAGTTATTCGAGAAAAACTCTCTCCATATCTAGCGCCGCCATTTTGACTTTTTCGACCCCTGTGACGTCATCTTTGACCTGACCTGAAAATGACCTTAGTAAAAATTGTAGATCTTGGCCGTGCGTATCCGATGCCGTTTACTGCTTGTCGCTATCTTGCTTCGTTCTCGAGATCTCAGGGGGGGGGCCGAATCGGCCCCCCCCCGCCAGTTTCTTGTCCCGGCGGAGCCCGCCAGGAATAGGGTTAAGGTTATCAATAGCCTATCTTTGGACTCACAGTTTGTTCATCCTGTTTCTGAGCGCGCCCAGTCCCCTGCGCAGAACCAGGTAGTTGGGCTCCTCCCGGCGGTGGGGGTGCTTCTTCCGCAGCGGAAGCAGGTGGCACGCGTCCTCCTCCAGCCACTTGAACAGCATCGGCATGTTGTAGTAGAGGAGCGTGTTGGGCCGCGCGGCGCGCGCCATGACCTCCGGGGTGCCGTTCAGGGCGAGGAACCGCTCGCCGGTCACCACGCGACGGTATAGGTGGCGCTCACTGGCCGAGGCACTCTTCTGCAGCAGAGGAGGTGCGGATGGTTACCATGGAAACGCGACATTTCGCTGGGGAAGCGACTCGTCTGCAGAGGAGGCGCGGATGGTTACCATGGAAACATCTCATCGTTGGGAAATTGGCAACGGTACGCATGAAGGAACGTCCTTTGCAGAATGAAATATAAATTTACATGTTCAATAGAAACGCATCTACTGACTACTGGTTCAGTAGATTAACCCCAATAATATTCAATTGAAGTTTTATTAGTCGATACACGTTCATGGTTGGTTGTTGAATTATTTAACTTTAATTGAACTGGATGATTGAACCAAAAATAATCCTTGACATTGAACAACCGGTTACAATTCAGCATACCTATCCATGCTAGTCAGAAGCAGCTATGCAGGCACCCTCCCGTCGTCTTACCGCCCAATCCCCTATGATGCCCACACCGCTCTCCATCGCGAACGTCCAGTCGTCCCGGGCGGAAAACTCGTCCAGGCTGCTGATGGGAGCCTCCGGCCGACTGACTGTCAGAAACGACATCAGGTTGGCCGTGTAGTTGATACTGATCAAAATACCTGAGGGAGAGAGAGAGAGAGAGAGAGAGAGAGAGAGAGAGAGAGAGAGAGAGAGAGAGAGAGAGAGAGAGAGAGAGAGAGAGAGAGAGAGAGAGAGAGAGAGAGACTGCTCACTGCTCAGTCGATTGGATCTCTGAGCACGAGTTCGTATTCGGAAGCCTTCGATGTGGTCTCCAATCGGAAAGCAAGTTAATATGGCACATTAGAATGATATCTCTAGACAGATAATTCATTTCAAAACCGTTTCTTTAGAAGTGCTGTAATATCCACAAAATGCAAACATCAATCTCCTCTCTTTCCGTTTTGTCTGTCTACAAGTCGCTCGCCAGGACTGCTGCGCCGGCAGGCCTTTGTGCATTGCGGCACAGTATGATTCAGGCGGTCGACATCCCTGACATCTAGCGAGCGTTCTGAGAACTACACACCAAGCCCTGCGGCACAGCATGTATCAGGCGCTTGAAACTGGTGACATCTAGCGGCTGTTGTTGCGACTATTCTCGGGCTGTGACCGTGATACACCCGAGTGAAACTTTCGCTAAGCGACCCTCATCTCATCGGGCATCTATTTACACATAAACAGTGAAATTTTATTTTAACACGCGCAGTGGAACGAGGGGGGGGGCGGATTTCGCCCACCCCTCCTGTTTTTCGCCAATAACTCACGCCGCAAACCTAATATTAATGTGAAATTTTGGCTACCTGTCCAGAATTGAATTGCGGATCTTCTCGTGCAAGAAATAAGAAAATTGGTTCGCAACTTTTCTAGTAATAGCGGTGTAAAGTCAAACATCGCGGCGGCCGGCGCTAGCCGTTACGCGCCGCCTGAATTGTACCGGGTGTCCCAAAAGTAAGGTCATGATTTAAAACTTAAATATCTCGAGAAGTAAGAGTCCGAATCACTTCCAATTTTAACACGTGCAAGGTACATCCATAAAATTATTTTCTTGCATGCTTAAACCATTTTTGATCATAACTACACCGAGCAGTAGGCATAAAACTGAGCATGATAAATTATTTAACGCAGCCGCCATGCAAGACCTGTCTGTGCTGAACTGACGTGTTTCGTCTTACACCAATCAATGTCGACCTCATGAATGGCGTCATGTGATCGTGCCCTGTAACACATGCTCTACACGAATCACGTGTTACAACAATGCGTGTTTTTCCGACCGCAAATAAAAACTGTTTTTAATTTACATGGGGTGCAGGAGGTTTAATTTACCTGATTGAAACACTTTTTCTCAATCGACATACATAATCAATTGGCATCAAAGCACCGACTTGCACTCAAAAGCGTACTCAACTGAGGCGTGCTGTCTCCTCTCTCTCTCTCTCTCTCTCTCTCTCTCTCTCTCTCTCTCTCTCTCTCTCTCTCTCTCTCTCTCTCTCTCTCTCTCTCTCTCTCTCTCTCTCTCTCTCTCTCTCTCTCTCTCTCTCTCTCTCTCTCTTTCTCTTTCTCTCTCTCTCTCTCTCTCTCTCTCCTCTCACTCTCTCTCCCTCTCTCTCTCTCTCTCTCTCTCTCTCTCTCTCTCTCTCTCTCTCTCTCTCTCTCTCTCTCTCTCTCTCTCTCTCTCCCTGTCTCAGGTATTTTGATCAGTATCAACTACACGGCCAACCTGATGTCCTACCTAACCGTTAGTCGGCCGGAAGCTCCCATCAGCAGCTTGGAGGAGTTTATTGCTAACGAGGACTGGACGCTGGTAATGGAGGAAGGCTACGGCAGTGTTGGAGATTGGGCAGTAAGTCGCAGATACTTTGTGAATCAGACAGATAGTAGTGGTTAAACGGTCCAATATGGTGTTATTTTCTTGTTATCTGTTAGTGGCAGCGCTCTGGTTATCCGTGCATTCTACAAGCGTAACTTTACTCTGATGTGTTGTATAAGAATTGACTTCACAATACCACATTTGACTTCATTTGGACTCGGCTTTGACCTCAGACCTGAGACCAATGTTATTTGTTATAGAAAAACATTAAGCCTCAGTGCGTTTTATTTCTGATTCTGAGCTGAGCAGCCAAAAGGGAGCAGAAGAACGCATTTATGTACTTTGACATGCGTGGTTACCAGGGGCTCTTTTATTTGGCTCGATTTTTATTTGCAGCCAATGGCTCGATATTATTATGGCCCCTGGACTCTGACCTGACCTGACCTGATGTTTGACCAATGACCCTGCCCGCAGCGCAACAGTACGCCGGCCCGGCGCGACCTCTACCGTCTGATCACAGAACGGAGCCGCTTCGCGCCCCTCGACGGCACGGTGGAAAACATGCTCCGCGCCACCCAGCCGCGCACGTTGGTGCTCTATGATCTGAAGCTCATTTTCCACCGTGTCGGATCGGAGGCGTGTCGGCTCGTTCAGCTGCCGAGCGAGGAGCTGCCCGAGGAGTGGACGGTGCCGGAGTACCTGGTGCTCAGGAAGGGCCTCGGACACCTCCGGGACAGGATGAACCACGTGTGAGTGGGGGACTAGGGGGGGGGGGGTAGGGGGGAGAGTTAGAATCACGACGACATCGAACGCTCTACGGGCAAAGGGGCCGATTTTTTGCAATAGTATGTAGAATTCTATATCGTGAATTTTATGTATTATATGTATATGTACAATAACACGGAACAAAAATGATAGACGAACGCGTTTCGGCTAAATCGCCGTCACCAGCGTCTAAAAGGAGAAAAAAGTTCTCCTTTTAGACGCTGATGACGGCGATTTAGCCGAAACGCGTTCGTCTATCATTTTTGTTCCGTGTTATTATACTTGTCTCAGCTGAAATACAATGTATATGTACTTACACATAGCAGCATATCGAAAAATTTTAATTGACTTGAGTGACTACGTGGGCGATGTATTATAAAAATAATTTACTTTATTACATTTTTCTCTGTTAACCTCACCAGTCGCCACCCATGTCATTGATGAGTTAATGCCTTTGCCCTTTCCCTCACTGCGTGCTGTCAGTCTGCTGCGACTGTCTCTGAGCGTCTATCATGACAGTGCTATGACCGGTACCCGGCGGTACCTCCCTCCCCACATCGTGTGTCCACAGTCTGCAGCGTCTGCTGCAGTCCGGCGCCGTGGACCGCCTGCGGCGCCGCTGGTTCGGCCACGGCCGCCGCCTCTGCGCCGCCGTGGCCGCCGTGCGGCCGCTGACGCTGGCCGACCTGGCCGCCGTGCTGGCCGTCACGCCGCTGGCCGCCGCCGCCGGCTGCCTGCTGCTGGGCGTGGAGCTGATGGTCAGGCGGCTCAGCAGACGGCGGGACCAGCAGCGGCGGCAGGGGACCGCGGACAGCGCCGCCAGAGGGAGGGCCGGGGCTGCAGCCGGCGCCGCCCGAGCCAGGAGAGCGCGCAGTCTGCCCTCCATCTTCAGCTGCTGTGAGAGGCAGCTCAACACCAAATGCTGAGGCCGAGCACAGAGCGCCGGCCCAGTGGTGACCTCAGCACCAGTGTTAGTCTTCACAATGTGAGCGTTATCTTAGCGCACCGGTTCTGTTATTGAGACGGAGATAAAGATGTATCGATGATTAATTGTTTATGCACATTTGAGCAGGCCATCTACTTGTGGCATGAATACAATAGACGCACCACCTATATTTTTTAACCCGCGCCCGGCTGGGGGTCCTGGATTTCCACGCCCTGCTGGGGGGGGGGGGTTTGAACACCCCCCCCTTCTAACTCGGCTCCTGGGCCACGTAGCGATACGCGGAAGGCGGCGTTCGAAAGAGTGCCAAAAATAATGACGAAATCACTTCGGTCACTTTTTTGGTCAGGTCAAAGGTCAGGTCACCAGAGGTCATTAAAGGCAAAATTTCGCCGATTTTCAGGTCGAATGTCGACAATTTCCAGGAAGCCAACGCATAACTCGGGAACCAAAGCGCCGCGAGCTAAAGCGCCGCGGAAAAGCGCATTCGATAGCCCTATTAACGCCCTTTCTGAATAATTCTCTCAGATTTGACCTAACGTCAACGGTTTTGCCTGCAGGGGGCAAAAACTGCAAAAATAGCCGATTTTTTCGGAAACAGTTTTTCTGCAATAATTTTTGACCCAAGCCTTGTACGAGCTTACTTTTACCGGCATCGTGTTCCTCTCGTCAAGACGCATCGAATGAACTATAACTTGACCTTGAAAGGTCAACTTGAAAATTTGACCTCAGGTCAAGGTCATGACCTGACCGGAAAAGGTCGTTTTCCATATCAGTCGATCCGTATCGTCGAGCTGAACACATCTAAGGCGTTTTCACCGCTCTAGCATGCCTCTATCAAAAGCTATTTGCGAAAAAACTGTTAGACACCATTCGTGACCTGAGATGACCTCAGGGGCATAAATAGGGGTCATGGACACCATTTTCATGTTCAGTGTGCTTAAACCACTTGTAATTCAGTGTTTGGGAGTGTTTACAATGTCTTTTGTCGAAAAGAGGCGCATTTCAATTTTCTCCCATTGACTTATAATGGGGAGGTCGCAAAATTGACCTGACCTTCGGTCACCGATATCAAAATTCTGAGATATACATTTTATAGATACTGTTACCCTTATCAAGCGCTGAAAGTTTCAAAGCGATCGGTCACTTGGTGTAGCAATGGCAGACATTGAAACTTTTTATGAGGTGAGGTCACTTCAAGTGACCTGGTGACCTGACCTTGAATGACCTTGGCCTGAAATTTTCACAACATGTGTAGAATTGATGCGTAATAAGGTGTACCAAAAACGGCGGCGCGGAGCGCCGCCGTTTTTGAGATATTTGCGAAAAACCACAAAGGGGGTGTTCACACACCCCCCCCCCCCAGCAGGGCGCGGCTTAAGTAGCTTGCCAATCGCCCTCATTTTGCTGTAAACGCCGCTTATCTTTTGTGATGAATGCCATCTGTGCACTTGTGGTTGTAATTCAATGCTGAGAAACGTACAATGCTTAGAATTCTGAAAATGTTTTTTGCATTTTGATCATTCTGTAAAGAAATGAAACTTATATAAGTAGCTCAGTTATGTTACAACAAGCAAATAAACTTTATTTACACTATTATTTAGTTTTGCCATATTGGATCACCCCCGTGAACCAGCATCTAAACAGACGAAAGGATGTGATTTTCAGGTATATTTGTTATCAGACGAAAATAATGATGAGTTAGGCAATCACCTAAGGACATAAAAACTATGAAGCACGGTCATAGATACTATACTATGCTATGAAGGTACAGACCCCGTCAGTAGCACCCCTTTCGCCGCTTCAATAGCCGTGGTCAGTTGGCCACCAGGTGTCGGGGCAATCGACCTAGGGGGCAGGGCGACCCCGTTCAATCACAATGTCTCTGCAACCAGTGTTTTACATTTTCTTCTCTCACATGTTATGCATGTAATACAAACTAATCGGTCGACTCAAGCATCACAAAAAGTGTCCGTCTTCAGTTTGCCCCTACCACTCCCTACCCCGGACGCTGTCGCAGACCTCCCCCTCCCCCAGAGCCCCCTGCCGCCGCTGCTGGTCCCGCCGTCTGCTCAGCCGCCTGACCAGCAGCTCCACGCCCAGCAGCAGGCAGCCGGCGGCGGCGGCCAGCGGCGTGACCGCCAGCACGGCGGCCAGGTCGGCCAGCGTCAGCGGCCGCACGGCGGCCACGGCGGCGCAGAGGCGGCGGCCGTGGCCGAACCAGCGGCGCCGCAGGCGGTCCACGGCGCCGGACTGCAGCAGACGCTGCAGACTGTGGACACACGATGTGGGGAGAGACGTCACTGCTGGCATATCAATTACGTGGTTGGCGACACGTGTTTAACAACGTGTTTAACAGCGTGTTTAACGTGTAAACAACGTGTTTAACATGTAGTTTATCTTCATTACTTAGTCCGCAGTTACCTGGGCGTTACGCTGTGTGATGAGCCTTTTGGTATGCGTCGATAAATGCATTTTACTTTGGTTGTAAGCGTGAAGTACGTTTCATCATTCATGTTCTAGTTCAAACATCACAATAGAGACACAAATCCAAAACCTTGAGATGAGACTGGAGTCGATGAAGAGATGGTTGTCCATCCAATAGGCCTCAGTCAAAACGGTTCGACACCCCGGTTGCCTAAAATATGAAAATCATAGCGCTACCCTAATTCATGAGCTTGCTGCAACAGAGAAAATATTTGATACAACATAATGCTCACGGCCCATATGCCTAGACTATTTTATGGTTATATGATGATTTTTAGAGCCAATGATGCATTTTGTACATGCAGTCGCACCTTGCAATACTTATCGTACTCACTAAACTGGGTGTTTGCAAAGTTACTGCATTGTAGCTTTGCGTGCCATCTGCTGTTTGGAATGCCAGCAAACGTGCTATGAACCTAACACCGATCAGCTAGGCCACTTTGATATGGCGGAGCCGACAGTACCATCGCATACCACTCGTTTCGTAAAGGTCTCATTGCAATTTTAAGCTTCGTGTATAAACAAGATAGAATCGGCCGTGCGGGAAAGCGCAGTCGTTAACTTTACAGCGCCGGATTATTATTTGGCAGTTTTATAGCTTGAGCGCAATGTCGTTTCGCAGACTTAGCTAGTAAACAATGCGCTGAGTGTCATTTCATTGTACGGTGCCCTGGCCAATGGTCGCCTCAGTGGGGTCGGGGAGGGGGCAGGGGGAGGGGTTTGATTGTGTCCCAAGGCCAGGTCCCAGGACCAACAATCTGTGCTAATGGATGTGGTGCGGGTCTGTTTGGAAGAGCGGCTTTCATTGTCATGTCATTTGAAATTGATTTGCTCTTTCAACCCTGATAGGTATATAGTGATTGTGAAATTTAATAAACCAATTTATATGTTAAATTCGTATGCAAGTTGCAATAAAAATGAATCAGTGCTCTGTTTTAGGTTTATCGCCAATCTATCATTAATTAGCGATTTATCTGAAGATTGCTTCACACCGTCTTAACCCTATTCCTGGCGGGGGCGGGCCTCAGGAGCCCCCCCCCCCCTGAGGTTTTTTGGTTATTTCTCCCAAACGCGTTGAGCTAGGAAGCTCAAATTTTCTGACTTTTCCTAAAAGGCTTCTACGCAACATGTCTGAAAATTTTGAGTTGATCTGACCTCAGGTCAGGTCACCAGAGGCGGTTTGGTGACCCTACCTCAGAAAAGTTTGCAATCACGCCAGAGCTAGAGTTTTTGACCGATCAATTTCTTCTCTTCAGGCTTTAGTTAGGGTACCAGTATGTGCAATTTGTATATCTCGGAATTTTGATATCGGTGACCTAAGGTCAGGTCAATTTCGCGACCTCCCCATTATAAGTCAATGGGGGAAAAATCAACTCCCTGTTTTTACCACTAAAACGGGTCGGAATGGCCCCATATACCATACATGACTTCATATACGATCAACCTTCACTACCTTGAGGTCTGTTTTGCTGTTGGGCAGCTGTGAGGTCATGTGACGTCATCAAAGGTCACCAAAGGTTTTTGGCCAATAACTCCGTACAGGAACAAGATACAGACGCGTGGATGGTCTCATTGTGTTCAGCTCGTCAAGACGCATCGAATGATATACATGATGACCTCGAGGTCACGTGACCTGAGGTCAACCTTTGACCTTGACCTTTCGAGGTCAACATATATATCATTCGATGCGGATTGACGAGAGGATCACGATGATGCACTTACTATGGACGTCAAACCCCTTGAGACCCCACTTTTTTGCGATAATTCTTAAATGCGTCAACTCTCGTTGACAATATTCTGGCAATGTGTGTTTCAGAACCTGCCGAAACTTTTATTACTAAGGTATTTTGACGCCAAACGATTATGAAAGGTACTTCTCATTCACTCGTAATGTTAAATTTCACGGACCGAATCTGCTGTTTGGGTAGAGGCTACGCGCTCATGGGGCGGAGCCACGTAATGACGTCAGCGCTAAGCTCCGCCCTACCCCTCCGGCGCTCCTTGCCCGGCGACCGGTCACTCGCGTCTCTCGCTCCATTCAGGCTTGATGGTGGGCGGTGGCTGGTAGCGGTAGCGGGCGCTGGTAGATGACATTAAGAGCAGATGGCGCTGGTGGCGGGGCTCGAGTGTGGCCGAGCGCAAGCCTCTTCCCGGGCCTGAATTGACCTTAGCATTACGAGTGAATGAGAAGTACCTTTCATAATCGTTTGGCGTCAAAATACCTTAGAAATAAAAGTTTCGGCAGGTTCTGAAACACACATTGCCTGAATATTGTCAACGAGAGTTGACGCATTTAAAAGTTATCGCAAAAAAGTGGGGTCTCAAGGAGTTTGACGTCCATAGTAGTTTGTTCCTATCTTGACTAATTCGAAAGTTATTCGAGAAAAACTCTCTCCATATCTAGCGCCGCCATTTTGACTTTTTCGACCCCTGTGACGTCATCTTTGACCTGACCTGAAAATGACCTTAGTAAAAATTGTAGATCTTGGCCGTGCGTATCCGATGCCGTTTACTGCTTGTCGCTATCTTGCTTCGTTCTCGAGATCTCAGGGGGGGGGGGCCGAATCGGCCCCCCCCCCGCCAGTTTCTTGTCCCGGCGGAGCCCGCCAGGAATAGGGTTAAGGTTATCAATAGCCTATCTTTGGACACACAGTTTGTTCATCCTGTTTCTGAGCGCGCCCAGTCCCCTGCGCAGAACCAGGTAGTTGGGCTCCTCCCGGCGGTGGGGGTGCTTCTTCCGCAGCGGAAGCAGGTGGCACGCGTCCTCCTCCAGCCACTTGAACAGCATCGGCATGTTGTAGTAGAGGAGCGTGTTGGGCCGCGCGGCGCGCGCCATGACCTCCGGGGTGCCGTTCAGGGCGAGGAACCGCTCGCCGGTCACCACGCGACGGTATAGGTGGCGCTCACTGGCCGAGGCACTCTTCTGCAGCAGAGGAGGTGCGGATGGTTACCATGGAAACGCGACATTTCGCTGGGGAAGCGACTCGTCTGCAGAGGAGGCGCGGATGGTTACCATGGAAACATCTCATCGTTGGGAAATTGGCAACGGTACGCATGAAGGAACGTCCTTTGCAGAATGAAATATAAATTTACATGTTCAATAGAAACGCATCTACTGACTACTGGTTCAGTAGATTAACCCCAATAATATTCAATTGAAGTTTTTATTAGTCGATACACGTTCATGGTTGGTTGTTGAATTATTTAACTTTAATTGAACTGGATGATTGAACCAAAAATAATCCTTGACATTGAACAACCGGTTACAATTCAGCATACCTATCCATGCTAGTCAGAAGCAGCTATGCAGGCACCCTCCCGTCGTCTTACCGCCCAATCCCCTATGATGCCCACACCGCTCTCCATCGCGAACGTCCAGTCGTCCCGGGCGGAAAACTCGTCCAGGCTGCTGATGGGAGCCTCCGGCCGACTGACTGTCAGAAACGACATCAGGTTGGCCGTGTAGTTGATACTGATCAAAATACCTGAGGGAGAGAGAGAGAGAGAGAGAGAGAGAGAGAGAGAGAGAGAGAGAGAGAGAGAGAGAGAGAGAGAGAGAGAGAGAGAGAGAGAGAGAGAGAGAGAGAGAGAGAGAGAGAGAGACTGCTCACTGCTCAGTCGATTGGATCTCTGAGCACGAGTTCGTATTCGGAAGCCTTCGATGTGGTCTCCAATCGGAAAGCAAGTTAATATGGCACATTAGAATGATATCTCTAGACAGATAATTCATTTCAAAACCGTTTCTTTAGAAGTGCTGTAATATCCACAAAATGCAAACATCAATCTCCTCTCTTTCCGTTTTGTCTGTCTACAAGTCGCTCGCCAGGACTGCTGCGCCGGCAGGCCTTTGTGCATTGCGGCACAGTATGATTCAGGCGGTCGACATCCCTGACATCTAGCGAGCGTTCTGAGAACTACACACCAAGCCCTGCGGCACAGCATGTATCAGGCGCTTGAAACTGGTGACATCTAGCGGCTGTTGTTGCGACTATTCTCGGGCTGTGACCGTGATACACCCGAGTGAAACTTTCGCTAAGCGACCCTCATCTCATCGGGCATCTATTTACACATAAACAGTGAAATTTTATTTTAACACGCGCAGTGGAACGAGGGGGGGGCGGATTTCGCCCACCCCTCCTGTTTTTCGCCAATAACTCACGCCGCAAACCTAATATTAATGTGAAATTTTGGCTACCTGTCCAGAATTGAATTGCGGATCTTCTCGTGCAAGAAATAAGAAAATTGGTTCGCAACTTTTCTAGTAATAGCGGTGTAAAGTCAAACATCGCGGCGGCCGGCGCTAGCCGTTACGCGCCGCCTGAATTGTACCGGGTGTCCCAAAAGTAAGGTCATGATTTAAAACTTAAATATCTCGAGAAGCAAGAGTCCGAATCACTTCCAATTTTAACACGTGCAAGGTACATCCATAAAATTATTTTCTTGCATGCTTAAACCATTTTTGATCATAACTACACCGAGCAGTAGGCATAAAACTGAGAAGGTCGAAATTCAACTCTTAGAGAGGGTCCGTCATTAAAACAAAGGGTAAATACCGCCCAGTTTTCGGCCCTAAGCAGACCCTAGCAGCTCGCCCTATCTCTGAACTCATGCATAGTTTCGCCTCAACCGGTAAAACGTCAGAAAAAAGGTATAATGTACGCACAGGGCATGTATACTTAGCCACCTGTGCTTCGAGGTCATGAGGACGACAGCGGGAATCGGGTGTCAGTAAATCAAGATAGGTGGCCGAGAGTCCTCCCAGTGGTTCTTCCGCTCGTCGCAACGCAGCTGTGCCGACACCATCAGCCAGCAGTGGTTTCAGCAGGATGGAGACTATGCTTGCACCGTCCTGAAGATCATGCAATTGTCTCCGAGAGTGGATGTGAGATCCCGTAATTTTCAGTCAGGGCAACGCCATTGAATGGCCTCCGCGGTCACCTGACGTTACACCTTCATATTTTTATTCTCTGGATACACAACAGAAAGATTGTCTTTTAGGACAACCCAACGAGCCGGGAAGAACTAAAGGATGATCCCTTCGAGCAAACATAGGCGGCATCTCACCAGAGAATCGCTCCAGAATAGTGGAGGAAGTCAAACGTAGTCTATTCATGCACGCGGCCCGAAATGGTAGCCATGTAGAAAAGCAGCAAATGTGGGGCTACGAGCCAATGTATTGACTCATATGTATGTCAGAATAAAAATTTATAAAATGCTCTTTCATATGATGTCCTATTTATATCTATCCATCGCGTATTTTTGGCAGTGTGGCCAAAACAAATGATGACCTTACTTTTGGGACACCCTGTACACTGTGCCGGGGCGGGACGGTTCCGTCTTTACATCGCGCTCCTTACCGCTGATTATATTCGATTCGCGTCAAATTTGGTGAGAAGACTAAGAAATGTACAGGCAATCTTATGGGCGAAGAATTTTGAAAATCGGCCGGTAAAAACTTGAGTTATGAGTGTGCAAACACAAAATTGTGACTGCCGCTTTTCCCGCGTCGGCCGATCCCGCTTCAGTCTGCGACATCTCACCCTTAGCAGGCCTCTAACTGCCATATTTATTATTTGATTAACTAGAAATTCACCATACACACTCACAAATGTCTGTTCTTTCGTATAGCGAAAGAAAAAAGGAAATCGGCCGGTAACTTTTGAGTTATCGGCGTGTAAACGCAAAAAAGTCGCCCATATGGCAGATTTGACCACATTTGACCTCATTTGACCTTGAATATATTGACCTAGGGTCATAAAATTCACACACAACAGAGTTCCCTATAACCCCCACCTACCCTCCAAATTTCGTCTTACTAGCTCCACTGGGAGCTGAGATCTTAGGGGGGGGCGCCATCCGCCACCCCCTTCCACTGGGCGTAGTACTCGCAACCCTTCCACTGCGCGTGTTAATACTGTTAGATGATATGGGTGTTGTTTATTATTGTGCAGTTACACAATGTGCACTGTGAAGTCAATTGTTATAAACATTTTTGTATTCTGCGTGTGACAAGAGTTTGAGGGAATCCGGAGCGCAATTCCAACTCGCCCGTATAGCGCCTTGCGGTCAGCATCGCTCATTTTAACCCGCGCCGTGCTGGGGGGGGGCGTTTTTACGCCCCCCCCCCCTCAGGTTTTTCGCGAATATCTCAAAAACGGCGGCGCGCAGCGCCGCCGTTTTTGGTACACGTGTTCCTACATCATTTCCGCACATGTTGTGAAAATTTCAGACCTAGGCCGTTCAAGGTCAGGTCACCAGGTCACGTCAAGTGACCTTACCTCAGAAAAAGTTCAAAGGCTCGCTATAGCTACACCGACTGAACGATCACTTTGAAACTTTCAGCGATTGATATGAGTAACAGTATGTATAAAATGTATATCTCGGATTTTTGATATCTGTGACCTAAGGTCAGGTCAATTTTGCGACCTCTCCATTATAAGTCAATGGGAGAAAATTGAAATGCGCCTCTTTTGGACGAATATCGTTCAAAACGCTCTCAAACATCGGTTCATAGGTAAACATGACACACTGAATAGGAAAAATGCACCTGTGACCCCTCTGTGTGCCCCTGAGGTCATCTCAGGTCATGAACGGTCGCCAGCAGTTTTTTGGCTATAACTTTTGATAGAGACGTGCTAGAGCGGTGAAAACACGTCAGATGTGTTCAGCTCGACGATACGGATCGACTGATATGCAACATGACCCTTTTCGGTCAGGTCATGACCTTGACCTGAGGTCAAATTTTCAAAATGACCTTTCAAGGTCAACAAATAGTTCATTCGACGCGTCTCGACGAGAGGAACACGATGCTGGCAAAAGTAATGTCATGGCGCTTATGAGTCAAAAGTTATTGACGAAAAAACATTTTTCGTAAAAACGGCTATTTTTGGAGTTTTTGCCCTCTGGAGGCTAAACCGTTGACCTGAGGTCAAATCTGAGAACATTACTCAGAAAGGTCTGTAAAAGGGCTATCGAATGCGCTTTTCCGCGGCGCTGTAGCTCTATCGGTTCCCGAGATAGCCGTTGGCAGTTTCCAAAATGTTGAAATAGTCAACATTTTACCTTTGGTGACCTCTGGTGACCTGACCTTTGACCTGACCCAAAAAATGACCGAAGTGTTTTCGTCCTTATTTTTGACGCTCTTTCGATTGCCGCTTACCGCGTGTCGCTACGTGGCCCAGGAGCCGAGTTAGATGGGGGGGGCGTGAAAACGCCCCCCCCCCCCCCCAGCACTCGGCGGAAAGTTCAGGCCACCAGCACGGCGCGGGTTAACGGGCCAAGCCAGCAAACATGGCCATTGTACGCGTGACGACTGCTTTGAATAATTAATCGTGCTTGCTATAGTGTCGAGAATGGCGACCTCCACACATTGTTCATAGGCATTTATATGCCGTCTCACCGCTGGAATAAAAGTTCACGGCTCATGAGCGGGTGCTGTGTAGCCCGTAGTGATTTGTGAATCGTCTATCGCTGCAGTAGTGTGTCCCTGACGGCTCAGATTGTCGGTGAATCAGCGTTTAAATGGCTCAGTAAGTGCCTTTGTGTCCGGGGGCGCAACGCTGGTCAGTGCTAGAAACGGCCGCCGCATACCGCGCCATTTTGTAGCTGTATATCGTAACCTAGGACACGAGCTCAGAGACAATTCAGCTGAACATCGTGAGGGAGGACACGATGGTTCTCGGACTGACCCAGGACCCAGCTGGAGATGGTGACGGTCCGTGCCGAGAGGCAGGCCGGCAGAACGGACCAGCCCTGGCCGGTGACGGTCATGAAGATGGCCAGGACGCTGGAGCCCAGAGAGAACTGGCGGCACGTGCTCTCCGTCTCCCCGCGGCCCCGATTGAGACGGACCGTCAGCGTCAGGCCCACAGACAGCACCAGCATACTCAGCACTGCAGAACATGAACGGTAAATCACCAACAGCACCAGGATGCTCAGCACTGCAGAACATGAACGGTAAATCACCAACAGCACCAGGATGCTCAGCACTGCAGAACATGGACGGTAAATAACCAACAGCACCAGGATACTCAGCACTGCAGAATATGAACGGTAAATCACCAACAGCACCAGGATGCTCAGCACAGGAAACGGAAACAAGGACAGCAGATGAGAATTGTAATACTTGAAATATAAAAGTGAAAAAATGTGTGTCAGCACTTCCAAGACAAAATTACCGGTCAAGAAAGTCTCTGCGATTGTAAAACTGCAGCCAACATCGAGCATGTCAACAGTCGTGATGTGTCATCGTAACAGCCACATCATGTAAAACCTCACAAATCAGTGAATTTCTGCTTATTCCCACATCGTCGCAGATCATTCGAAGACTGTCCTGCGTCTTGTTTTGCATTTTTACCAGCTACAAGTCTCTAGTATGTGAATTCTGTATGCGCTTATGCAACATTTCATCAAGCTAATGGCGTGAAAAGCCACTCCTTTTCTTATTCATTCAGCTGTCATTCGCTATACTCATGGCGCACTGTGGTGAAGTGTCGTTTATGCTGGCCGGAACTACAGAAGCACATAAAAGAACGTGTGTTTGCGACGCCATATACATTCGAGGGCTTGTTTTCTTTAATTCAACATTTGCACAAAGGAGGAAAATCATGTTTGATGACTATCAAAGACTCAGTACATGTGAAGCGACACATGACTGAGAGCATGCGTTATTTATTTATTATCTTTTTGCCTGGACATGCAGTTTATTGGCGGTGTTTGCTGCTGTTTAGTGGTGTTTCTATTGACCCGAGTTTTATATGTCTTTGTGTTCGCATTGATATGTGTTGGTCAGTTTTGGTTAGTATTTGTATTAGCCGGTGTTTGCTGGTGCTTGTATTGGCCATTATTTGTCAGTGTTTGTCAGTGTTTGTGTTCGTCATTCCCGCAGTGTCAGCCAGACGTGCGTTGCAGCGGCCGCAGCAAAGAGGTTCACAAGTGTTTGTCGCTGTTTGTTGATGTTTGTGGGTATTTGTCGCGGTTTGTGTTGTCACTCACGGAGCAGGAGCCAGACGTTCGTGTGCAGCGGCCGCAGCAGTGAGGAGAACACGTCGCCGCTCAGCTGCGGCGCGTCCCGCTCGCCGGCGCGAAGGAAGAAGTCGTAGCTGGCGCTGAAGACGGGCACCATGTCCAGGTACTCGAGGACGGCGGCCCGGTCCCGCCGGTAGTGCAGCCACGAGAGCGCCACGTCCGCGCGCTGAACGAGGGGGGCACCCGGGATGACATGAACACGCGCTGTCAGAATGGCATGCACAAGCTCTGAGACTGACATCCTTCACTAACACGATCTCAGACACATGTTCTTCCAGTTCCATGTACACATTGCGCATGTTCAGTCAGATAGATGAATCGCTGGAAAAGCATCACAGAATGTCACAGCGTCGCACCAAACAAAATGTCGCGCATTGTAACAAATCCTCAACAGTGAGACCGAGACACCCATGCGATGTCGAAACATGTATTAGCCACCTTGCAGGTCATCTGTTATTCATACCAGACCAGACCCACTGCGTGTTGTATAATGATCGCTCTCGGACACTCAGACAGTTTTAACGGTGACACTTTCGGTCTATAAATAATTCAGAGTACACGGACTACGGAGATTAAGGCTGGTTCGGTAGCCGATGTCACTATTCAGCGCTGCTAATGTATGTAAGACTTCGTTCATTTTTTTCAAAGCAACGGTCACCGGCTGATCACTAAGTGGTCACCTAAGGCCCTAAATAAGAGCCCCATTGGGGTTGAAATGAATGAAACCACTCACTTTTGATGGATTAGGAGCCTGGCAATCTGTCCGTTACAGTGAATATGACCGTCTTATTTATAACATCAAATTATCTTGCAGCCTATGTCATCAAGTCATCTTTGCAGGTGCTCATTTAAACCGTAGACATGTGAAACGCTTACACATTTAAATAAACAGAGTTAAAAAACAGGGGTTTCAGTTACAGGAATGGACTGACCCTGTGAGACTGTGATCATGTGGGACTGTGACCATGTGCGACTGTGATCCTGTGTTACTGTGACCCTGTGGGACTGTGACCATGTGGGACTGTGACCCTGTGCGACTGTGATCCTGTGGGACTGTGACCCTGTGGGACTGTGACCCTGTGGGACTGTGATCATGTGGGACTGTGAGGTCGGAGCTCAACACCGTCTACCCACCTGGTACACCACCTGCTGCGCTGAATACCCACCTGGTACACTACCCTCTGCTCTGAATACCCACCCTCTGCTCTGAATACCCACCTGGCTGACCACCTCCCCCACCATGCCCGTCCAGGTGCCGTACCCTCTGCTCTGAATACCCACCTGGTACACCACCTCTGCTCTGAATACCCACCTGGCTGACCACCTCCCCGACCATGCCCGTCCAGGTGCCGTACCCTCTGCTCTGAATACCCACCTGATACACCACCTCTGCTCTGAGTACCCACCTGGCTGACCACCTCCCCCACCATGCCCGTCCAGGTGCCGTTGGTCAGCAGGGCGCCGAATCCGCCGGGCGAGGGGGGCAGCATGCGGTACGTCACGTTCAGTTCGCGGCACATGACGTCCCACAGGTCCAGCAGGTAGCCGCTGTAGTTATAGCGGCCCTCACCTATCTTCTCGACATAGAGGAACGGAGGGTCCTGGAAAAAATCATTTTTTTTTTGTTGTACCTAAAGCTTGTTTAAAACAACTATAACAAGCAAAAATATACAGAAAAGCCAGCTGTAAACAAACAGCCTCCAGGCCTCTGAGTTCTGACAGTCCACCAGACTTAAAGGAAATAGTTCACTTTTTAACATGGGTTTTGAACTGGAATAGCAGTTCCGTAGCCTGGGCTGAGACGAGCATAAATCAGGAGCTTTTACAGCCCAACGATCACCCTAGGCAAAGATATTCTATTTCTCGTCCCGAAAAAGGTGTCTTGCGTTGAGGATGTGTGCCTTGCATATATTCGCATCCAGTATGAAAAGAGCATGGGTACCGAAAATTCTTCAGAAACTAGAGAAATTATCTACGAGAACTCTAGAGAAATTCTCGTACTGATAAATAAGGACATTCAGCAGCAGCAGATCGCCCAAATGCCGGTGGCCGCGATCATTTCTCTAGTTTCTGAAGAATTTTCGGGACCCATGCTCTTTTCATACTGGATCGCCTGTGCCTTACAGAAACTGAAAAGTTCTTCTTATTATCAAAATATAGAAAATAATCTTTTGTTATAAATAGGTTTTATTTTCTTTGCTGATCATTTTGAACATAAAAAATCATAAATCCATTGCAAAAAAAATAATTTCGTGAAAGTGAACTATTTCCTTTAACCCGCGCCCCACTGGGGGTGGGGGGGGGCTATTCATAGCCCCCCTCCCGTTTTTCTGCAATTACTTCCAAACCACTTGACGTATCGACGCCAAACTTTCAGTACCTACCTTCGGCTGCATCAATTTGACACCTTGTGTCAAAATTTGAACTTCGTAGCTGCCATAGGTCGGCCGAAAATGACGTCAGAGTGACGTCATGTTCGGCCGATTTCGACGCAAAACATTGAACCACGGCAATCGCTCTCAAGAGCTTAGTTTTTAAGCTAGATCCAATTTCTTTGCATGTAAGGACTCAGAATTAATTGCGCTATCAAACTGCTATCTCGGATTTTCAAAATTTGGAAAATTTCGAAAATTTTATATAATAATATTCAAAACTTATATTTTTTTATTTGTTTCAAAAAGTTTTTGACTTTTCGAAAACCCCGGAATATATGTGACAAAACGTATGCTTATGACTAACTCTAGCAAGTTTTAGCTAAATATCTTCAAAAATGGCCAAGTTATACGCATTATTGCAAAAAATTCACAATTATTTATTTTTCAAATCAATTTTTCAGTACGCATTTGACATCGTACACCAATATAAATAGCACCATCGTGCTCCTGAGCTCAAACTGCATCGATATCTTTTTGTTGAAAAATTTTAACTTCAAAATTTGACCTTTTTTGACCTGAAAGTGACCTGACCTAAGCTAAATTCGACTCAAAATGACCTCGAATGACACAGACGACATCAAATTCGAAATCTACGGCCTAAATGGACAATAAATCATGTGTCACGTGACCGACGCATGATATAATATTTCCGTGACCTGTGATTTACCTGACCCTGACCTGAATATCAAAGTAAAAGTTTGGTACCCTCAAGGTATTCAGAGCATCTGTTCACGAGTGTGGAAACCAAAAATGAGCCTGATCTGGCTTGTAAGACGGCGGCCAGAGCCCAAAATGTGAACAAGCCGAAATGCTAATAATTTTTACTTTGACCTGACCTGTGACGTCATCGGTGACCTCGAGGTCAATGAAATTAGGTTTCGCTCATCAGTTTTTCCGGGGCTATCAGACGCCATTCGAATTTTGACGATCGGCCCAGTAGTTTCGGAGTTAGGAGGGGGGCTATGGAGAGCCCCCCAGTAGGGCGTGTTATACGCAGACCCCAGTGGGTCGCGGGTTAACTGGTCGATAAGCTGAAAAAGCAGCCTCAGTAAAAGCAACAAGACGCAGCCAATGTAAATGACTCTCGGTAAACTCACGTGGAAGTTGGCGATCTTTAGCTCTTCGGTGTACACGTCTGAAAAGTTCCCGAGACGGACCAGCGATCCGACGCGCTCCATGGCTCATGTCAGACTGATGGCGTCTGGAACCCTGTGGTCGGTGTCGCCCTGTGATGTACGGATAGATGGTGTTTTATCGACGATACCAAGTCATGTGAGAAAACGTGAACACGCAGCTGCAACTTGTATCCCTAGCCATGTAATATAGCTTACCTCAGGCAACTAACAGGGGTAGAGCCATCACATTCATATCATCACTCGCTCTGTATCTGAGACAAATCGTTTAATTATATTTGCTTTCTTTCCTCCCTCCTTGTATTTATGTAGGTAGTGACTCTACTTTCTCAATTCCTATATAGAAACGGACCTTATTCTGAGTCAAAGCGCAAATATTGTCATTTACATAATCTACGAAATAAACGCAGACGGCACACATGACACCCTCCTCACTACCATTCACTGTGTCTCAGTTGTGACCCTTCCAACACAGTATCTTCAATTACCTACCATTCACCGTGGCCCAGTGACAGCCCAGAGATATCACACACGCACACACGCGCACACACACAGTGTGCTCACGGTGCGGCCTGCGCCGGTCGACTGGGGCCGTGAGGTGGGGTGTCGCCGGCTCGACCGGCTCGGCCGGGCCTGACACACGGTGGCTATGGCAGTCATGTTGGGACCATGCACAACGTCCGAGCTTTGTGTCATTCATAGGTGTAGCAACGTATCTCTTTGGTGAAGGATACCTTTCACCAAAGTTTCAGATTGGTGAAGGATCCTTCACCAATCTTGGACAATGCAAGGGAGGGTCTTCACCTACCTATGCTTAGAACTACTGGATTCGACGGTTGATCAAATGTCTGTTTTTCCGCGCCCGGCTGGGGGTCCTGGATTTCCACGCCCTGCTGGGGGGGGGGGGTGTTTGAACACCCCCCCCCCTCCTTCTAACTCGGCTCCTGGGCCACGTAGCGATACGCGGAAGGCGGCGTTCGAAAGAGCGCCAAAAATAATGACGAAATCACTTCGGTCACTTTTTTGATCAGGTCAAAGGTCAGGTCACCAGAGGTCATTAAAGGCAAAATTTCGCCGATTTTCAGGTCGAATGTCGACAATTTCCAAGAAGCCAACGCATAGCTCGGGAACCAATAGAGCTACAGCGCCACGGAAAAGCGCATTCGATAGCCCTATTAACGCCCTTTCTGAGTAATCCTATCAGATTTGACATAACGTCAACGGTTTTGCCTGCAGGGGGCAAAAACTGCCAAAATAGACGATTTTTCGGGAACAGTTTTTCTGCAATAACTTTTGACTCAAGCCTTGCACGAGCTTTCTTTTACCGACATCGTGTTCCTCTTGTCAAGACGCATCGAATGAACTATAATTTGACATTGAAAGTTCAACTTAAAAATTTGACCTCTGGTCAAGGTCGTGATTTGACCGGACATTGTCATGTTGCATATTAGTGGATCTGTATCGTCGAGCTGAACATATATGTATAAGACGTTTTCATCGCTCTAGCATGCCTCTTTCAAAAGTTAGTCGCAAAAAACTGTTAGATACCATTCGTGACCTGAGATGACCTTAGGGGCATAAACGGGTCACGGGTGCCGTTTTCATGTTCAGTGTGTCAAAGTTACTTGTAATTTAGTGTTTGAGAGTGTTTAGAATGACTTTCGTCCGAAAAGACGGTTTTGAATTTTCTCCCATTGACTTATAATACCTAGAGAAGTCGCAAAATTGACCCGACCTTAGGTCACCGATATGAAAATTCTGAATTTTGTACATACTGTTGCACTTATCAATTGCTGAAAGCTTCAAAGCGATCCGTCACTTGGTGTAGCTATGGCATACATTGAAACATTTTATGATGTGTTTATGAGGTGAGGTCACTTGTAGCGGCCTGGTGACCTGACCTTGAAGGACCCTGGTCTGAAATTTTCACAAAATGTATAAAATTGATAGATGATAAGGTGCCGCCGTTTTTCAGATATCCGCGAAAAACCGCAGGGGGGTGGGTGTTCAAAAACCTCCCCCCCCCCCTCCCAGCAGGGCGCGGGTTAACACACTTTGACCATTTGCCCCAGTAGTCAAAATTCCTTAGCCGAGGCCCTGATTTACATCTTGCTGTCATGGCAAGATGCACAATTCAATTTTAGGTAGGCATTGACAATTTGACGTTAATGGGATGATAGTAAGATATCTGCGAAAAACAAGGGGTTGGCGAAATTCGCCCCCCCCCCCCCCCCCCCGCTTGCACTGTGCGTGTTGGTTGGCACGGTCCAGGTCCTGTCCCTTTTCATAAGGTTCAGGTGGCATCCTTCACCAATATTTTTGGCGCTCCTACACCCATGGTGTCATTCACATATTGATTTTCACAACCTGCACGGCAGTGCATTCATAAACTTATCCACACCACATAATGGGCTAGCATCCGTTTTAAGTTTGGTCGAGGCTTTGCTCGCTGTTTGTTTCAGGCCCTTTTAACTCCTTGCTTAGCAACTGTTCAAAGCTCTTTGTCCATGAAATATCGAAATAATACGGTGACGAAGTCGCGCGCGCCGGTTGATTCTCTGGTAAATGCGGCCTCGCTGCAGTGACGGTGGACTGAAAGTCGGAACAAAGCTGACCTCTCCACAGTGACGGCGGGTGATGCACTTACCTAATGAGCTGCGCTGGCACCTCCGGCCAACCGGTGCAACGCTAGGCGTGAAGCATTCATATGACGTGCGTTTGATTGGCAGCGCTCTAAGGCCCTTTGGTTGGAAGCAAAAGACGGCTAATGTAGGTCTGATGCATGTTTTGTCGACATTGAGGAAGCCTCTTTTTGCCAAATTGTAATACAATTGCTGACAATATTCTCTTATTCAAGCCACCACGACCGTAATGACGATTTGCTACTATGAATATCCATGAATTTGTACTCGTATTGTCTCATTGTCTAGCGATCGGGGAATTTTTTCTCTGATTTGGGAGTCATTCTGATTTCTTATCGAGCGATGAACATTTAGGTATATACCTACTGGCTTGAACTATTTCGCTTTTATGTAGAAAACGAGTTTGTGCCCTTTTCCAACATCAATAGCACTTCAAATAACTGTTCGTCACCCTGTACGATTGATATGCATTATGCGGCCCTCTGACGCGACCACGTGTGTCGCGGCCGGTCGGCAGTCCCGGCCCCTGACCAGCCGCCATGAGACGCTCAGTTGGCAGAGCGAGCTCAGCGCGGGCGGATGGGTTATAGGTGCGAGAAGGTCGTGTGAGTGCGGCGCTGAGTGTGGAAATGCCTATATTGGTGAGAGTAGCTGGCAGGTAAAGCAAATAGACAATAGCGCCAGCTTGATCATTCATCTTCATGAGTGACGAAACGATATCAAAGAAAACGAGTCGAAATCATTAAAATATTTGCAAGTTTTCCTTTCGTCTTTGAGAACCCGAAGACAAAGTGGCATGTCCATGAGGCTGGAAGTAGCATCTTTAGTGTGATAATAAGCCAGTTTCAGCGCTGAACTTAATGAAATATTACTAACGGACACAGTTATGGCGTTAGTGATGTGAGCAAACAAGACACAGTCAACTAGCGAAACATTGGGTATTCAAATAACGTTAGGTTGTGACACCGGTCGCACCGACTGAATAAAACAATGACGACAGCGCTCGAAGACGGCAATCAGATAAATGGATCCACAGATAACAGCGAAAACACAAACGGAGACTGCAGAAGGAACTCCAGTGATGGAGAACCACCACCGCCAGTAGCTGGTAAAACGGACAGCCAGACTTACCAGACATTCGAAAGCGCCGAGCTCCCGCCGCTGACGCTGACTCAGAAGAAGACGATGGCGGCGCTGACACTGGTGAGCCTGCTGAACGGCTCGCTGACGGCCGTGATGATCCCGTTCTTCCCGGCGGAGGCGGCCGACCGCGGACTCTCCCAGACCGCTATCAGCGCCGTCTTCAGCTGCTACGCGCTGGCCAAGCTGGTGCTGAGCCCGGCGGTGGGCCGGGTGGCGCCCGCGGTCGGCGTCACGCGGCTCTACACGCTCGGCCTGGCCGCCGCCGGCACCTCAACGGTGGTGTTTGGCGCGCTGCAGCACATCGCCGAGCCGCGCCTGTTCGCGGCCGGCTGCCTGCTGGCGCGGCTGGTCGAGGCGGCCGGCACGGCGGCCGTCTCTGGCTGCGCGCTCACCATCATCGCCAGTCAGTTCGGGCCGCGCACGAGCCGCGCGGTGGCGCTGCGCAGCGCCGCCTCCTCGGTGGGCCTGTCGGTGGGGCCGGCCATCGGCAGCGGCCTGTACACGCTGGGCGGGTTCTCACTGCCCTTCTACGTCACCGGCGGAACCCTGCTGGTGATGGCCGCTCTGATCCACCGGCTGCTGCCTCCGCTGGAGAACTGCGAGCGCCAGTCCATCCCCTACGTCACCATGGTGCGCACCTTCTGCAGGAGCCCGCAGAACTGGCTCTGTATGCTGAACGTCTTCATGACCCCCTTCATCGTCGTCACGTTCGACACGTCGCTGGCGCCGTACGCTGGCCGCGCGCTCGGCGTCACGCCCTCCACGCTGGGACTCTACTTCACCGTCGCCACGACTGCGTACGCGCTCACGGCCTACGTGTGGGCGCGTGTGGCCGAGAGCGCGCGCCGTCCGCACGTGTTCATCGGTCTGGGCCTGCTGGTGGTGTCAGCCAGCCTGCTGCTGGCGCCGCCGTCGCCGCTGCTGGTCGGTCTCCAGCCGCGCTGGTGGCTGCTCGGCCTGGGCATGGTGCTGATGGAGGCGGCGCTCGGCGGCGGCTACATTCCCTCGTTCCAGCTGATGCTGACGGCGGGGCGCCGCGTCGGACTGGAGGACGGCCTGGTCACCCAGGCCTTTGTGTCGAGTGTGCTGAGCACGTCGTTCGCGCTGGGCAGTGTGGTCGGCCCGCCGCTCGGCGGGGTGGTGGTGGACTGGAGCGGGTTCACCCGGTGATGATGACAGGACTGGCGGGACTCACCCTGATCGCCGCGCTGCTCAACGCTGGGTTCGCGCTGTTGGCCGGGAGTCGGCGGGAGGAAAAGGTGGGAAGCAGTAACGCCGTGAGGAGCCGGCGGGAGGAAAAGGTGGGAATCACTAACGCAGCAGCGAGTGTCACAGAGGACACCGAGACCAGCACCGATACGGACGGTTCGGTCCAACGAGGGACCAGTGGGTGTGTGAGGGAGTGCAGTTGATATGTTGTCACGCTTGAATGCTGTGTTGTATGTGACTTTTCGTAAGGAGAGAACAGCGGATGTTTGGCGACATCGATTTCATATTTTTCTTTTAATAGAAATTAAAACAGATGCAATCCCCGTCTACTGGCTGAGATAATCATCCCGCGCCGTGCTGGTGGCCTGAGTTTTCCGTGTCGTGGTGGGGGGGGGGGAGGAACGTTTTCACGCCTCCTCCGTCTAACTCGGCTCCGCCCCTGGGCCACGTATGTAGAAGCACGCGGTAAGCGGTATACAAAGAGAGTAAAAAATAGGATGACGAAAACGCTTTTGTCATTTTCTTTTAGCTCAGGTATGGCTCAGGCCAAAAGTCAGATCGCCAGAGTTCATCAAGTGTCAAATTTAGTCCATTTCAACTGCTTCGGGAACTGCAAACGGCTTACCTACTTGAATCAGAAGAGCTTTCAGGACCGCGGAAAAGCGCATTTGATAGCCCTATTACATACTTTTCTGATTATTGTTCTCAGATTTGACCTCAGGTCAACGGTTAAGCCTTCAGAGGGCAAAGCTCTAAAAATAGTTAGGTAGCCGTTTTCAGGTTTTGGTAATACCTAACTTTTGACTCAAGAGAGCCACGCTATTAGCCTTCGCCCTGGTGGGGGGGGGGCCATTTTGGCCCCCCCCCCTGTGGTTTTTCAGCGATAACTCAGAAACCACTTGAGTTAGCGCCCTGAAACTTTGTATAGCTGTTTATTCAACATTTTTACATCATGTCCTTTTTTTGGGGGTTCGGGTCAGGTCAGGTCAGGTCACAAGGTCACCAAAACTGACACCACCTCTAAAAAAGTTCAAAGCTCTCTCAAAGGCACAGCTTTTATCCGATCGATGTAAAATTTACAGTACTTGAAGATGTCACCCAGCTCTACAAAATGGCTATCTCGGATTTTTTATAAATGTGACCTAAGGTCAGGTCAGGTCATCGCTGCTCCCCATTATAAGTCAATGGGAGAATCGAAAAGTAGTTGTTTTTCAGCTAAATCGGGCGTGATTGTTCCTATATTTCGTTATTGAAGTGTCTTGGGTCAGCAAATCACAGCCCATGTGAAACCATTTGCTTGTGACCTCGCTGAGGTCACGCTAGGTCATCTCCCTGGTCACCAGAGGTCACCAGCGGTTTTTCTGCACTTACTTGTTATTGAATAGAGATAGAGACTCCGTTCGACGTTTATCGTGTTTGTCTCGTCAATGCGGATCGAATGATATGCAGCATGACCTATTTCGGTAAGGTCATGACCTTGACCTGAGGTCAAATTTTCAAAATGACCTTTCGAGGTCAAACTATATATCATTCGACGCGTCTCGACGAGCCAAGCACGATGGTGCATGAATCGTTTCTCTATTTTCTCGTGAATGCATGCTATAGTTAAAAACATTTTCAACGAAATTTGCCAAGTTGACCTTGCATGACCTCTGTAGGCCAAACCGTTGAGCTGAGGTCAAATCTGACGAACCTTGGCGAAAGAGCTTGAAAAGAGCTATCGATTGCTTTTTTCCGCGGCTCTCTAGCTCTTCTAGTTTCCGAGCTACAGCGGAATATGTCCGGCAACACCGAAAACACTGAAATTTGACCTATGATGACCTCTAGCGACCTCAATATTGACCTTAGCGAAAAAATGACCGAAATACTTTCGAACGTACTTGTTATGGGCTTTCGTTTGCTTTTTTCCGCGTCTTCCTAGCCCTCTTCGTTTTCGAGTTAGACGGGGGGGGTCATTTTGGCCCCCCCCACCAGGGCGAAGGTGGCTCAGACCCACACCAGGGCGCGGGTTAGTTTTGCCAGTATTGTGTTCCTGTCGTCGAGACGCGTCGAATGAACAATACGTTGACCTTGAAGGGTCATTTTGAAAATGTGACCTCAGGTCAAGGTCATGACCTGACTGGAAAGGGTCATGTTGCATATCAGTCGATCCGTATCGTCGAGCTGAACACATCTGGCGTGTTTTCACCGCTCTAGCACGTCTCCGATTCAGTGTGTTATTTTTACCTATTATGTGATGTTTGAGTGGGTTTTGAACGACATTCGTCGAAAAGAGGCGCGTTTCAATTTTTCTCACATTGACTTAGGCATAATGAAGAGGTTGCAAATTTGATCTGACGTTAGGTCACAGATATAAAAATCCGAGATACCTATGCATTTTATACATACTGCTACTCTTATCAATAGCTGAAAGTTTCAAAGTGATCGATCAGTCGGTGTAGCTAGAGCGAGCTTTTGAAGTTTTTCTGAGGTAAGGTCACTTGATGTGACCTGGTGACCTGACCTTGAACGAATCGGGTGTGAAATTTTCACGACATGTGCGGAAAAGTTGCATGAACAGGTGTACCAAAAACGGCAGCGCTGCGCGCCGCCTTTTTGTTATAGACATTTGCTAAAAAACCTGAGGGGGCGTTGAAACGCCCCCCCCCCCCGCACGTCGCGGCCGTTATAAAGTATTTTATTCGCTGCGCAGAAGTCGCACCTATAAGACGAAAAAGGTGCTTGCACTGCATCTCTTGAGCAGCGTGGCATTGAGGTTGACCTAAAACACGGCCCAAGCACTCATGCATTATGCACCAGGGTAAGATATATGCAGAGACGACTGCATACCTTTATCACACCAAAGGTCATCAGGCTGCATCACAGTTTTACTGCTTCGCCACATGTTTTTTCCATCGCGACCGTGCTACCTACGTGCCGTGCTCGAATTAGCTTGTTGAATGTGTCTGGCCCACGGACGTTTATTTATAGATAGCGTACGTACGCCCGTGGTCTGGACTCTGGCCTGTGCTTAGGAGGCGTCCGTCTAGCCGCTTCGGAAGTGGGAGCCTGGGGTTGGAAGGGGAACATCATGATACCCGGGCGGAGCACAGTCGCCCGGTGAAAATAATCAATAGTGAACAGATGGCGACGGTCTGACGCGGAATGGCGAAAACGCGACTCACACTCTGTTGTTGGTGTGACACGGCTGTTGGACAGTGCCTCGTGCCATTGTGCTGAGCTCAGCCTCGAGCATGTGTTCGCTCCGGCCAAAATGCAGTCTACTGTCACATATAGCACGCCATAGACGGCCACACACAACACGTCAAATAGACGGTCACGTATATACTACGTCAAATAGACGGTCACATATAGGTACCTACTACGTCAAATAGACGGTCACACACACGACGTGAAATAGACGGTCACATACCTATACTACGTCAAATAGAGGGTCACATATACTACGTCAAATAGACGATCACACACACCACGCATAGGCGGCGGAACGGGGAGGGCACAGGCACAGGGGCACCGCGCCCCCCTTTGATTTTGGCATTTTAACATTAGCCCTATGGCCAATGGGCGTCGCATGGAAAGAATGGGACCAAAAGTCGGCAGTGCCCCCCCCCCCCCCTTAATCGAAGGTGTTCCGCCGCTACTAACACCACGTCAAATTCAAATAGACAGCCGATATGATTTTACCGACTACTAAGTCATGGCGATTACGGGCCTGAAGCACTAGCGCCTCTACATCGAACGCCTCACAGCTGTAGTTACATAAAATTGCCACCAGGCGGCAGCAGTATCAGACTCGCAGATTCGTGAATATCAAACGTTTCTTATAGGTATCTTGTATCAAACTGCTGTTAGATTGACGGACATGTGTAGAATGCGTATACCAGCGCAGATGATTCAAAATATTTTGTTCATTTGTAGAGATTACAGTTCACTTGTAATTTCATCTAGAAACTGCTATGGCAACCAAAGCTATTGGGATGGTGATAGCCGCTTTCATTGGCCTATTCAGCATTATGAATTCATTTACGAACAGATGACCATGGACTTTATATTTGAACGTGCTCACGGTATGTATTCTTTGCTCCAAGGCTTTGCTCTATTTTTATTCGACCTAGTGCGAAAAAAAGTAGCTGTTGCTTCCAGTCCAGGGTATATTGATAATGATATAGAACAGGTTGCTTCAACCTTTCGGGATTCAAGGCATCATAGTTCTCTATATACTGTGGCATCATAATTCATTTCAACATCAGGCTATCATAATCCAGTAGGTGGAACTATGGTCATGAGTACCCAAATATAGGAACGTTCCCATTTTTGGGAACGGAGTTCCCAAATATGGGAACGGGCGTTCCCATTTATGAGAACGGAAGGTAATTTTTCGGCCGTTCGCCCACTAAAACTCATTAGTGCATCACGTCTCAAAAAAGTGCACGCTAATTTAAGTATCTACTAAATCTCTATCAAATTATCTTTAATCTGACCGTTGAACAAGGAAATTGACCGTCGAATGATATTTTTAATGATTTTTTGAAATGACGGAATGGTGAAAACATGGGTTACACTACATTTAACATGCAATTTTAAGGAAAATGAAGCGTTTTTTACATTTTGAGGTCAAGTATAATAATTTTCGCCTGGTTATGAAGTTTCATACTAGCGACACCAGATACTGACATATGCAACCGAACACGCGGTCAGTCCCGAGGTAATATTGTTGACATTTGGTGTCGAGGCGGACGACCGCGTAGAACGTGCGTGATTTTACCGAACTACTGTTGTAAACTCAGTTTAAGTGGTCGAAAATTATTCAGCTGTATTTTATCAGCCCGGAAAGACATATTTTATTTGGATGCTAGCTGTTTAGTGTTGTTTTATAAGGAGCGTCATGAGCGTGGTTTTTGTCTTCCGTGTTTCTAAGCATGATCGTTTTGTGGGAATTTCTCTTATATAGGTCGCTCTGTGTGGCTTATTTATAATTTCTATGCTGATTTCGATCATTCCTCGTGCCCATCCTACCAGGCCTTTTGCCACTTACACTCATTAAGAAAGGAAAAAACTAGATTTTCATTGGGACTAGGTGTTTTGAGGGTGTAACATATTCAGCGTTCCCATTTTTGGATACTTCCTTGTACTCGTCAACTATCGGTGATAAACAGACAGGTGCTTGACATGTCTCCACCCTCGGCACGGACGGTGGATATAGGTATGGAAGACCTTGTTGAACATCGCTGAGCGTTGTGAATTACGTAATCCTGCAGAGGGGGGCGTGCCCGCTGCGAGATCGACGGGAATAAAAGCGCAGAAGACCGGGCGAAACATGCGACGGTCTTGCCGGAAAGGTCATCTGATGATTGTTGCGTTAACAATAATTTGCGGCGTTGGACGCGATGCTTGTTAATGAAAAAAGCCCCTGAAAGGCGTCGGTGAAATCGTTCCCAATTTTGGGTACGCCGTTCCCATAATAAGGAACGCTTGCAGCGCCAGTGTACGAGAGCGTTCCCAAATTTGGGCTCGCGGCCCGGATGATGGACTGCTTTAGAAATAGGGGAATTATTTGAAACTACGATGGGCCTTACAATATCAAACTCTCTCCCAACAATATTGAGACAAATATCAGGCGGTTCACGATCGTTTTATATTTTTTGGACGTCATTTAACGGTTCTTTTTCTTGTTTTAAATAATGCCTACATGGCGTTCCCATATTTGGGTTTATCGTTCCCAAACATGGGAACGAAAATGCGTTCCCGAAAATGGGTACGCTTGACCATAGTTCCGCCTACTGAATCATGTGTAATGTGAGTGCTGGTATCTGGTGTTGGTGTGGTTAGATACCTATCGCCCAGGGCAAATGCGATAAATGCTATTTATTTTTTCGGTTTAAACATTAGCCTGCCTCTTGTTTATAATAATTGGTAATATTGACCTGAGCCCCCTTTTACAGCAGGCTTTTATCACACTCGGTTTTCATGGAAACATCAGGTTTCTTAAATTGCGTCCAAGTTTGTTGAGATTTACCTTGGTACCTACGCCAGAAGTGTAATAGCACGAAAAGCCTGAGGAGTCACCTTGTAGTGCAGTGTGCCTTTGAAGCAGGGCATAGATTGGACATTATTTGTTGACATTTTTTAAAGACAATTTAAGCACAGGCAACAAAGTTTTTATGGTCACTTTTAAGTTTTATACCTTTAAATTGATGGTATTTTCTTAAACTTAAATTCTTATCATGAATACCTATAATACCTTATCAATAAAATCCATGTTTTGATTTTTGTGTGTTGCTAGGACAAACCTTGACCTGCGGGATGGAAAATAAGCTGTGGAAAAGTTAATTGTTGTCAACATTCAAAAGGATATATCTGAAGTTGCAGCAATGCCAAAAATGAATTAAACCTCTCTCCTCTATGGAGTTGATGCACAATTGTTTGATTTACCTATAATATGTTCATTATTAAATGCTTTAACAACAGTTGTTCCAACAATAGTTTAATTACACAGGGTTTTGATAGTACCAAGTCATAACAAATAGAATTCAAGCTCATCAAATGAAATATAAATGCTTCAAATTTGTGCAAAAACTAAATTTTACATTCCATATAAATTATCCTGTTATGTAATATTATTTCATGCTTATTCATTGTTCCCATGAACTCTACACCGTACCCACGTCACGTCCCCCTTAGCCCCTCAGCGCCATGGTGCCGCCGTCGGGGCTGCAGCTGGCCGCCTGCCTGGTGAACGTCTCCTGCGGTCGCCGGCCGGCCGCCGTGGCGCGGCTGGCGGCCGCTCCGCTGCGCGCCGCCGCTGGCTCGCCGCTGTGGGACGCCGCGGCGGCGCGCCGGCTGACGGAGCGGGGCGGCCTGCGCGCGCCCGTCACCGTGCTCAGCGTGTTCCCGGACACCGACTACGACCGGACCGTGTACACGGTGGCCGGCCCGCTGGCCACGCTCGGTAGGTCGGGGCGACACGGGGATCACCGCATCGTTCATCTACTCTTGTTACGGATCGTACACCGGGCATCCGTCACTCTTCCGTTTTATTATAATAAGCGTCTGATAACTTATCATCTAGACATTCTAGACAACCATGTTGTTTCATTCTGCTGTCATCATTTTGATCCCAGTATTTCTTCTGTTTACATTCATTGTTTCACTTGTTTCACTCCACCCATTCGCCTACACTACACTGTTGTCCGTCCCACTCCGTTCACCCCGCTGCCTGTGCCGCAGGCGCCGGCGTGCTGTCGCTCTGCCGCGAGGCCTGTGAGCTGGTGGACCTGCGGCACCACGCCGGCAACCACCCGTGTCTGGGCGCCGTGGACCTGGTGCCCTTCCACCCGCTGAGCGAGGACGTCACTCTGGAGGACTGCGCCCGGCTGGCCCGCGGTGAGCGGGAGCGGTGGGATGGGACCGTCTGGGCTGCGGTGATGGGTCTGCTTAGTACCTACCTACCTACCTAGTACCTAGTACCTAGTACCTAGTACCTAGTACCTAGTGTATGTAAAGCGGCGGCAGGTAGACCGATGTTACCGTTCTTGACGTCATATGACGTGTGTTTCTGTTTATGAGAGCACTTAGCAGTAGCTGACTGCCCTGGTTCGGGCTGGTTACTGTCTGTGTTTATGACAGTATTTGTGTTTGTAAAAGTGTTTGTGTTTGTTTCAACGGTTGGGGAGCAACTGACTGCCCTGTTTGTGTGTTGTGACACTGTGTTTGTTCCAGCGGTCGGTGACCAGCTGACCGCCCTGGTGCCCGGCACGTCCTGTTTCTGGTTCGGCGAGGCGGACCCTCTGCGCCGCTCGCTGCCGCTGCGCCGCAGACAGGTGGGCTGGTTCCAGCGGCGGCCGGTCGCAGCGGAGATCGACAGAGGGACGCCCGACCCGCGGCTCGGGGTCACAGGTCAGTGGGGGGGGGACGCCCGACCCGCGGCTGGGGGTCACAGGTCAGTGGGGGGGGGGGACGCCCGACCCGCGGCTGGGGGTCACAGGTCAGTGGGGGGGGGGGACGCCCGATCCGCGGCTGGGGGTCACAGGTCAGTGACCGAGGCACGTCTGACCCGCGGCTGGGGGTCACAGGTCAGTGAAGAGGGACGCCCGACCCGCGGCTGGGGGTCAGAGGTCAGTGAAGTGGGACGCCCGACCCGCGGCTGGGGGGTCACAGGTCAGTCTAAGGGACGCCCGACTCACGGCTGGGGGTCACAGGTCAGTCTAAGGGACGTCTGACCCGCGGCTGGGGGTCACAGGTCAGTGAAGTGGGACGTCTGACCTGTGGCTGGGGGTCACAGGTCAGTGAAGTGGGACGCCCGACCTGTGGCTGGGGGTCGCAGATGCGATCCGACAGTCAGTCTAGAGAGATGGGATCGGACAGTCATCAGGCGAGGGCTGCCCGTCATTCGCCCTTCATGCAGTAAAACGTTCATAACATGCCAATGAATCCAGTATGGTTAAAAGCTCTTAGCTTCATACGTTGTGTTTTGGAGGCACGTTTGTTTGTCGCTCCCTGCCTGTATGTGTCCTGAATATGCGCGTCGTTTCCTTCCAGGAATTGGCGCCATTCCGTACATGACCAACTACAACGTCACCCTGGACACTGCCGACCTGGCGGTGGGCAGGGAGGTCGCCGCCGAGCTGAGGGCCACGGCGCCCGGCGGGATGCCAGGTGAGGGACAGGGAGGGACGGAGGGCCGCCACACTAGGAGGGTGGCCAGGTGAGGGACGGGGAGGGACGGAGGGCCGCCACACTAGGAGGGTGGCCAGGTGAGGGACGGGGAGGGACGGAGGGCCGCCACACTAGGAGGGTGGCCAGGTGAGGGACGGAGCGGAGGGACGGAGGGCCGCCACACTAGGAGGGTGGCCGGGGGAGGGACGGAGGGCCGCCACACTAGGAGGGTGGCCAGGGGAGGGACGGAGCGGAGGGACGGAGCGGAGGGACGGAGCGGAGGGACGGAGGGCCGCCACACTAGTGGGGTGACCAGGTGAGGGACGGAGCGGAGGGACGGAGGGCCGCCACACTAGTGGGGTGACCAGGTGAGGGACGGAGCGGAGGGACGCGACTGAGGGAGGGACAAACAGCTGAGACGTCAGGACAGCAGAAGGAGATGTTGTTATGCGCTGTCACTTAGTGAAATGTCTCTTTCCTAAGTCCTAAGTGCCGACAGCGGCGATGAAGCTTCAATATACCGGTCGATCGAACCACCCTGCCGTCATTTGATGTCAGCGATGGTCGTGGCCGGGACTACGGTACAAAATACAGACACTCCCATTTCAGTCTGACTTGAAGCGGTGGCAGTGTGTGAGCTGTCAGTGAGAGTACAGGGTTGTAGAAAATCGCAGTGTCTGACCGGCCTTTGGCTCCGTCCAGGCGTTCAGCCGATGACGTTCAGTCACTGACGTTCAGTGTCGAGGTGAAGCCTGAACAGTGTATGTATATGTGGGGGGGGGGGGGGGGGGGAGTCTATAGAGTCTGACCCTTCCCCTCCTATCCAGGCGTTCAGGCGATGGCGTTCGTCCACGGGGGCCGTGTCGAGGTCGCCTGTAACCTGGACACGCTGCCCTCCGGCGCCCCGGAGCCGACGGCCGTGGAGGCGCGCGTCCGCCAGCTGGCGGCGGCGCGCGGCGCTCAGCTGACGCCCGACTCGCGGGTGGTGGGGTTCACCCGCGCGGGAGCCGCGCGCGCCGCCTGGGAGGCGCTCAGCAGCGGCGACGGCGAGGCCTGGAGGCTCCGGCGCGGAGCGCACATGTGAGTGGTGTGAGGCGCAGTAGAGGTAACCCGAGGGACGGCGGAGGGGGTACTACAGTCAGACGGGACGGGGTACGGGACTCTGTGACTGTGACTGTGCAGCAGTTGTTACTGTTCGTTGAACAGGGAGTAGTGGGAAGTGGCTATAACTTTGGCTGCGCGCTGTGTGTGGCTACGGGCCACACTGTAACCGGCTGTGTTCGTGAGCCGACTTGCCGTTATAGCAGTACGTTGGCATGGTAATTGGTATTATAGCTGATCTGATGACGGGGTATTAGAACAGTGCAATACGGGGATTTACACATATATTGGTTAGGTGGTATTACTATACACTTATACAGTAGGGTTCAGTGAAGTGCGACATGTTACGATGCTGCCGATTTTGTCGGCATCAACCGTTTCGGGGACGCCTTTAACCGTATCGTTGTTTTCATACGAAACATTTTGCGTTGGTTAGGTCAGTGGCGGATCCAGGGGGGGGGGGGGCAAAATGGGCATTTGCCCCCCCCCCAACGGCATAATTTTAACCCGCGCCCCGTAGGGGGGGGGGCCGAAACGGCCCCCCCTGTCCTTTTCGGTCGATATCTCCTAAACGGCTGGAGATATCGCCACCAAACTTTCAGGACCCCTCCGGGCATCAATTTTACACATTGTGACCAAAAATTTTCCAGAGGCTATGATAGGTTGGCCACAAATGACGTCAGAGTGACGTCATGTTCTATCATTTTCGACCGAAAAAAGACCTTCGCGAGAAGACCTGTCAGGACTACAGCTTTGAAGATACAGAAAAATGATCAGACATAAAAGGTGTAGAATTGACAGGGCTACAAAACTGCTATCTCGAATTTTTGAAATTTTTGAGTTTTGACCCCCAAAAATCAAAAAAAACATTTTTTTGGATATATTCGCCAAAAAATCCAAAAAGTTTTTTTGAGTTTCGAAAAAAAACCGGAATATATGTGATAGTGCCTACCGTCTTCTATCTACATACCAAATTTCAGATCGATACCTCGTTTTTTGGCCAAGTTATAGCGAAAAAACTGTTCAAAAATGATGACGTCAAATTTTCAAACTCAATTTTTGGCAATTGTAGAACTCGTAGAGCAAAACGAAGACCACCATTAGACTCCCCGTGACGAGCTGCATCGAATCGATACCCATTTTATGCAAAAATATCAACTTTGAAATTTGACCTAATTTGACCTGACCTTGACCTGACCTTCACAAAAACGTGACCTAGGCTGGCCCCAAAGGCTGCCTAACCCACATAATCGCATTTGTCATGTAAAATGGACCATAAAACATGTATCACACGACACATTCATATTGTGACCCCGGTGACCTGACCTCGCTGTGACCTGACCTGGTATCAGTGACCTCAGATAGCAAAGTATGTGTTTGGCGAACAATGTACCATCGATGGTTTTCAACAAATTACCAATTTACTCGCTTTCACAGCACATTTCTTGAATTGCCTGTGAACGGTGAAAATCTGACCTTTGACCTGACCTGTGACGTCATCGGTTTGACCTAGGTCAATGAAATTTGGTCACAAGGTAGTTCCCGGGTGGGGCTATCGAACGCCGTTTGAATTTTGAAAATCGGCCGGTAACTTTCCGAGATCTTAGGGGGGGGCCGAAACGCCCCCCCCCCCCCCCCCCTACGGATGGTAGGGTCCGCCGGTAGCCCTACGGGGCGCGGGTTAACATTACGCCTATGGACGAGGCATGGAAAGAATCGATAAATTGTTATGGTTTGCCCCCCCCCCCAAAAAAAAACCTGAGCTGGATCCGCCTCTGGGTTAGGTATCTATTATTGCTAGTGTTATGCGGTGTGCTTATGAATATACTTGTAACAATTTCTGAACGCCGCAGATTTCGCTTGCTGTCGGATTTGAACACTATCGGACGCTTTGTATTTCGGGCTCTTTCCTTCAGAGGTGTCTTTTGGTATACCCTGGCGTATGTCGGCTTTAAAAATCAAGAAACTTACCTTTTCAGTTCCAAATTAGTCGAGGTGTGCTGCTTTTTAAAAACATATAACAAATTATTGTAAAAAGAGTCAAATTTCTGTGCAGCATAACCATTAAATTTACGTAGACATTTGCGCCGGCCAAAATGTTCTTTTCTTTGATGATCTACGACATTGATTCAGTCTTACATAACGAATAAGTGGCATAGTCTTTTCTGTAAAAAATGCCGTGTAAATAGAGGATCGCTCATTTTGGTACTTTTTATTATATCTTTCGCTTTAAATCAAAATGGCAGCTGAAAGCGAGGAGAGTCCAAACGAATCGGCCTCAAAACCAACAATATCCTCATCGAAACAGGACGCCTCCAGTGAAAACGCCGCCAAAACGGAGGAGGATAAATCTGCTGCTCCGGCGGCCGAAAACCCCACTGACCCATCCAACCCTGACGGCGTGGGGGATGGCTCTGCGGTGGCGAGCAAGGTGTCCGTTCAGCAGACACCCTCACAGTCGGACCCAGTCCCGCCGGCCGACCCGCCGGCTCCGGCTGACACCGTCCCGGAGTCGGAGCCGCAGACGGAGCCCGCGGAGCCGCCGCCGGAGCCGCCGCCGGAGCCGGCCGCCGTCCCGCGGGTGGGGTCGGCGGCGGCGCGGGGCTCGGCGTCCCGCGGCGGCGGGTCGGCGGCCGACCTGCCGTCGGGCCTCACCGAGCGGCTGTCGTCGCTGAGCGCCGCTGCCGGCGCCAGTCTGAAAGATATGATGGCCCGGAGCAGCGTCACTGGCTCCGGCTCTGGCGCGGTGAAGGCAGGGGACTCGGGAGCCACCCGCCCGGCGCCAGGCCCCGCCGAGCCTCCCGCGCAGGACAGCACGACTAAGAGCGAGACCAGCGAGCCGACAGAGACTGCTGTCAAGGAGGAGCCGGTAGTGAAACAGGAGACTCCGGACTCCCGCGGAGCCAGTTCAGCGGAGCAGGCTCCCGTACAGGCTCCCGGCGCAACTCTCAACACTCAGGAGTCGGGAGTGTTCACTCCGACAGCTGCGCCGCCCTCTCCGGAGCGGGAGCAGCGGGAGGGCGCAGCGTCCGCCCCGCCGCGCGGCACACAGTCGGCGGCCAGTCGCGGAGTGAAGATAGTGAAGGACGAGTCGGCGCCCACCGACCGGCGCTCCTCCTCGTACCTGTACAACGACTGGGACCGCACCCTGTATGAGAAGACAGGTCGGCCGCCGCCCGGCGAGGCGCACTGGTCGCGCGACAAGAGCGCGCACAGCGACCGCAGCCCGGCCCGCGCCGGCGGCGCCGAGCCGTGCTCTCACTCGCGGGGCTCTGCGCAGCCGGCGGCGCGCTCGGCGTCGGCCCGCCGCCGGCCGCGCAGCCGCCGACGGCCGGTCACCTCCCCCGGCGGCCGGCGGGCGTTCGACATGGCGCGCTGCCAGCGGGAGACGCAGGACCAGTTCGGTAGGAGGATCGTCTACCGACACTGCTTCATCGAGCCGGAGTTCACGCTGCGCGGCCAGAGGATCCCCGTACACGGCGCCCGGAAGGGCAGCATCGTCAACGCCGAGGACACGTACGCCGCCTTCGCGCTGGAGCTGGTCACGCCTCCCTCCGAGGGACAGCTCTCCGCCGAGAAGGTGCAGCGCCGCGCGCGCCTAAAAAAGAGACGCCGCAAGAAGAGGAAGCGCTCACCGGGCGGTAAGAGCCTGCTGCGGGAGCGGGCGCTGATCGAGGAGCAGAAACAGCGTCTGGAGGAGGAAGGCGAGAGGCTGGAGGAGGACCGGATCCGGCTGGAGGGGACGCGCCGCCACCTGGAGCAGCTGGAGGAGTGGTGGGTGACTGAGGGACTCCAGATCCTCCAGCGCAACGAACTCCGCGAGCAGGAGGAGAAAATCATCAATGCCGTGATCGAGGAGGAGTGTCAGCGGATCCGGGAGGAGAGGAGGAGACTCCAGGAGGAGTGGCAGTTCCTGGTGGAGCGTGTCGAGCGTCAGGAGAAGGAGGAGCGGCGTGTCCAGGAGGCGCTCCAGGAGCTGGATGAGCGGCAGGAGGAGCTGGCGCAGCACGAGCGGGCCGGGATGCGGCGCATCCACGAGATGAAGGCCGTGTTCGACATCGAGCGGCGCATGATGGAGGTGGATAGGAAGAAGCTGGTGGAGGAGGCGCTGACGTCTGAGGCGTTCCGGGACGCCCTGGAGGACGCCGAGCTCGGCTGCTGGGAGGCGCTCTCGGAGGACGGCCGGAGCCGGTCGCGGGTCAGCTCGGCGTCCCGGGGCGCGCGGCAGCCCGAGCCGCCCGACCCGTTCACCAACATCAAGGACAGCCGGTTGGAGCGGCTGCTGGCGGACATCATACACTCGCCGGGATCGGCGGAGCCGGAGCAGCGCCATGACGAGCCGACATCCCCTGAGTTACAGCAGCGTTCCTCGGAGCTGCTATCCCCGGAGCCCAGCTGCCTCTCCCCAGAGCTGGTCTGCTCAGAGTCCGACCAGCGCTGTGTGCCGCTGCGGGAGGACGGTCCCGGCCGCCCGCCCAGTGGTAATGCCTGCGGTCGGCCGCAGCGCCCCATCACGGCGCGCGGCCGACCGGCCAGGGCCTCCCGCTCCACACCGTCCGGGGACCCCCGGACCGCGCCGGATGTCCTGCCGCCCTGCGCCGCCCGCAGCGAGGGCGCCGGAGGTACAGCGGTGACCCCGGGCCGGCCGACAGGGGACGGTCTGTCGGGCGGCGGGGAGATCGCCGACATCTGGCGCCGCCGGCCCACCGCCGCGCAGCGTCGCGATACGTGCAGCGAGGCGGCTATCGCTGAGGACCGGGGTCCGGCTGCAGGCAGTGAGGGGAGCGGGGCTGCCCCGGCGGCGCCGGCGGTACCGGACCGGCCTCAGCCGGAGCACCACCTCCCGGCGCCGGCAGCTCAGCGGCAGCACGCCAAGAGCGAGGGCTTCATGGACCCCAGCGTCCGGCGGGCGGAGGCGGAGCGGCGCCGCGCCAGCGCCGCGCCCTGCCTGGAGAGCCAGACGAGAGCGGAGTCTCCGACACCAGGGGAACAGACACCGGCGCCCCCGCAGACCCCGGCGCCCCCGGCGGCCGGCGGGAGCTCGCCGGCCGACCCGGCCGCGGAGGGCGGGGGCGGCGGCTCACCAGCCGCCTCCCAGCCGAGCTCGCTGCGCTCCGGACTGCGGAGCGCCGACTCGGTGCAGCGGAGAGTGTCGTTTGACCAGAGGGCCACCGCGCAGACGGTGTCGGACGGAGCGGCCGGCGGGGCGGGGGAGGGGGCGGGCGGGGAGGGTGCAAAGGGGGAGGGGGACGGCGGCGCGGATAGCGGTCAGTCTGAGACTGGCTAGTGGGTGAGCTTAGGGCGATAATGTCACGAGGCACCTGCCGCGGAACACTGAATGGACGAAGGCTTTGACTCGCAAATCTAAATCGTCATTTGCTTTTTTCCGTTTTGCCTTTGTAATATTTTCAGTTTTCATTTTGTCAGAAAGAAGTTTCGGCGGCAACTGTTAAAAATCTTCGTCAGGAAATTATGGCTTCGAATCGTTACGAACGCAAAATATTACTTTTTCTCCTATCGGGATATTCTTGCTTGATCAACACAATAAATACCTGCATCGCCCGCGTCATCTGTGAATGTCTTATCGATTGCGGCCTTACTGGGACCTGAATCCTCTCCTCTGACCTGACATCTGACCTCACCAAAACACCATGGACCTGACCGCTGACCTTCGCTCTCTCCTCTGCCCTGAATCCTGAACTGACCTGTGCCCTCTCTATGACCTGACTCATGGCCCGACCTGTGACCTCACTCTGACCTGACTCATGGCCCGACCTGTGACCTCACTCTGACCTGACCTGTGCCCTCACTCTGACCTGACTCATGGCCCGACCTGTGACCTCACTCTGACCTGACTTGTGACCTGTGTCCCGACCTCAAACCTGACTCATGACTCGAGTGTCCCTGACCTGACCTGGGTCCCGACCTCAAACCTGGGCCCTGACCCGACCTGTGACCTCACCTGACACCCCTGGTGGGCTAACAACCCGTCTCAGACCTGACGGGGTCGAGTACCTACCACCCACAGGCAGCGGCGTGTTGTATGAAATGGGTGCATCGCGTCTGGTCGGCCTCAGGTAAAATTGTTTTTTATTTTTGATTTTAGTATTTATATTTTCATTGTAATATGTTAAGCGCTACTTTTGTAGAAAGTTGGGATACCTTGTCACAGAAACTATTTTTAATACTCTTGGGTAATTGTGGGTGTGACATTTCTGGCGCTCTATCGTCGATTAGTTGCGCAGTGTTGTTTTCTTGGTTGTATTGCGCGCTCTGCGCTGTGTTGGACCAGTAGGGATGTATTTTCCAGTATTTTCGAAGAAAATAAGCTAAAAAGTACTTAAATCGTGACAGTAATTGAATTGACCTAAGCTTGAGCTGGTAATAACGGCCTGGCTACTGAATCTACATACGATTGATGTCAAATGCACAAGAGACCGAGGGGTGAAAAGATGTGAAGTGGTGCCTGAACCTGAAGTCTTACAGAGGCAGACCGGGACATTTTCTTTTTTATCAAGTATCCAACTAAAAAATGAGGTCAATCAACAATGCAATGAGCTTGAAAAAGGTATGTCATTAGATCACCAAATATTGTAATGCACCATCGATATGCTTCAGGATAAATGGCCTACTTTTTCAGCACAAAGTCTGAGTATGCCCTCAATTTTGTCTTTTGACTGTTTGAAACATTGAAAATTAAATGTGCTGTTTGGCCTCTTGGAAAGCTGGCTAGATTATTTGGTACCTATTTATTATATTGTTATGCTAGCGCCTAGCAGGTTCCGAATTTGCAGTCCTATCACCTCATTTAGGATCCATCTTTATTTTCAGTTCATGCTGCGGCAGGAAGTCCTGACTCTCTACAGGTCCATTCTGAGGTCCATCAAATCAGTCCCAGAACAGGACAGGGCCACAATGAAGGCATGGGTCCGAGAAGAGTTTGAGCTGCATCGGTCTGTTCAAGATGAGGTGAGCCACAATGTACCATCGCTAGTCACCAATATGTTGTACTGAAATATTGCACTTTAATATGTTCAAAGTAAAGCTAACAGAAAGCATCTCTGCAACCAGGGATGTGATCACCTTGCAATGATTCATTCTTGAATTATCAGCAAAACAAAGTGTGGGAGGAGTGTGATCAATGCTTACACTGTGCTTATTGCAGTCAAATAGGCTAAATTCACCTTAACTATTGTTGAGGGTGATGAGAAAAGTACCAGACCTGTTGTTTTATTACAGGCACTCATCAAACAGCATTTAGCTTGTGGCAAAAAGACATTCAAAGAGCTCCAACAAGCAATGAATCTTGCATCATCCTGACAAGTTTGTAGCAGCCATCTCAACTGTTGCTCCTGTTCATCTACTACTTGAATCTACTTTGGTGAGTCAGGTTATGGATGTTTTGCAGTTTCGTATCAACTCTTGAATCGCTATGAGGGCCCCAGTCGCCCAATAACTATGTCGCTCGCGCGTAGGTCGATCGGTGAAAATCCGCCATATCCCCACGAACCCAGGAAGAAGCAGACTGTCCCAAAAATATAAATTCGCAAAAAGTATATTTGTGCTTTATGTAACAATGCACGGATATCATCCACTGTACGCACACTGCACACCACGCACTAACAACCGTGCATGCCAGTGCATGCACAATGCACATTACCCGCGGGGACTCGCAGTTGAAGAGCTAAAACGCCGGCTCGCGGAGTCGAGTGTCATGCGGACCCTGTTTGACCGCGTGCAGTGGCATAACCGGTGTTGTCGGTACGGGTCTATGACGGGTCAACGACAATCGGCAGTCGGCTTGAACTGACAAGTGACAATCCTAACAGCGGCTAGAAGGCTATCTAACAAATAGCGATCTCCAAGCGCTTGCAGTCCGGCCAACAGCTGCCTGAAGCATTCCAATCAACGAAAGTGCATTGAAGCGCGCCGTATTTCAAATATGAGATCACTTCTATATCACCCCATCACAGCAGAGGTTATAATTGACAGGAGGAAGCAGGAAATCACACCCATAAAGTGTGTTATGAGTATAAATGGCGAAGGGCCACAGTGCATCATTGAAGCATAATCAGCTTTGCCACCCGATTGGTGCCTGGCGAAATGACAGTGCATAGTTTACGTGACGTAATGCCCTACCATCACTTATTGCGACGAGGAAGCACCCGGAGTATAACTCTAACAACGCCTCCACGAATTCTTCTCAGAAAGCACCACAAGGACTCGTGGTTCACTAACCGCTGACCTCAGGCCGCCCTGAAGACGCTGCGCAGCCCGAGCACCACGTTGGCGGCCAGCAGCGCCGACCCGCCCAGCACCCCGACCCGCTCGATGGTGGCTCTCCTCCGGCGGGAGACGCGGCCGCCGAGCGCCGCCTCCAGCAGCGCCGCCCAGATCCACTGGCCGTCCAGCGCGAAGCAGGGCACCACGTTCAGCACCGCCAGCGCCGCTGAGAAGGAGAGCACGTAGTGCGCCAGCGTCTGGAGGCGGCGCGGCGCGGCGGCCGGCAGCGGCCACCAGCGCGGCTCGTGGTCGGACACCGCCGCGTCCGCGAACACTGTGCCCGGCGCGCCCAGGAACAGCACGGCCGGCCCGGCACGCCGCCGCAGCGAGAGCAGCCGTACGGCCGGCTCCAGCGCCGGACGGAAACAGCGCGCCGGCTCGCCGCACGAGGCCGTGGTCTGGCAGCGCGCCGGGCCGGAGTCGAGCACGGCGCGCGCCGGCAGACACGAGAACGGCGGCGCCGTCCAGTCTGGCGTGCCGTCGTCGCCGACAAACTCGAAACACAGGTGCGAGCTGCTGTTGGAGGCGTCGCAGCACTCCACCAGGCCAGTGTCGTCCCGCGCGTACGCTGCAACGGAAGGAGGGGGATCGTGAGGATGGTGAGGTTGCTGAAGAGCGTCAGTAGCTGAACACCCTCACCAAGAACAAATCGGGGTAAAGCGCTGCAGATATTTGTTTCCATTGACGTGATTAAATGAAAGACGCAGTTCTCGATCGTTTATTTAAAAATAATAATATTTAGATGGTCACTCAGTTACTCTTACGCAGCGAGATATTTGGAATCAAAGGGTGAAAAGGTGTTGTCCCTTCAGTGTGGCCAAATTGGTTAAGCGTTAGGGGGAGGATGTATAAAAAGTCGTATGAGGATGTCACTATTTTAGAAAAAAACTCGTCTACAGCCTCATTTTAGGTGCAGTTTTTACAGGTACCTAATGTGGAAAAACTATACCTGACGTCAAGTTCTGGTGGAAAGTACAAAAAAAACTTCAAATATTGTCATTAAAGATGTATAAAAAACAACATGTAAGCGCGACAGTACGAGTATGACGATGCGAATCGTGCATTGGAACATTTTTAGTCTTTATTCCTACACTAGGTATGCTTGCACGACAAAAACGTCGTGATGATGTAATTTCAAAATTTCTGAGGATGTCATTATACTTTTCATTGGGGGTGACTTTCCCCGCAACATCACCAATTTGGCCACACTGTGTCCCTTCCCTTCAACGTTATTCCCACGGTATGAAGTTGCATAATTAAGCATGTGCTATATAACTATCCGCTCATTTCCCATTTACAATGCTCAAAAATGGTCCAAACCTCCTACCTGTCACCCTCATGTGTCACAATATTGAAAGCACGAGGTGCATCGTCTCTGTCTCAATAATGCATGTTCTCTGGCACTTACGATGGTGTAAGGTCTCGTCCGCCTATCCCGGACGGTACTTACTTTAGTGTATGGTCTCTTCCGCCTATCCCGGTACTTACGATGGTGTATGGTCTCGTCGTAGGCGGCGCTGAGGTCGGTGGAGACGCAGTAGCCCGTCTGCGGCTCGGAGGCTGCGCGCGCCAGACACGAGAGCCAGTCGCGCCGCGAGCGGACCGGGCACTCGTTCACTGCCGTCATCAGGTCGCCGGCCGACAGACCGGTGGCGCCGTGCAGCGGAGAGTCCTGCAAACACGGCCCAGAGCGTCACCAACAGACAGAGAGGGGTAAGGGCGGGTGCGTGCAGAGGGGTAGAGAGGGTGCGTGAAGTGATCAGAGACGCATAGAGACAGTGCGAGTGTTTATAGTTGTTGTACAACTGTGTGTGTGCCTTGAAGACCTGGTAAAAGTGCAATAAATGAGAAAGATATTGGTGTAACCTCGGCGTATTTAATGGTGCAAATGTCAGAATCATTTAAGAGATTTTATAGACATCAGGCTCGAGCACGTCTGTGTGTTGAAGGGCGCGCTTCGTGTATTAACTGGGATCAGCTACTGACCTGATAGACGCTGTAGACGCCTCCGTTCTGTGCTATACTGACCTGATATACGCTGTAGACGACGGCGCCCTGCCCGACCCTGTACAGGGGCGCGGTGAGCAGCGGCAGAGCGGCCAGCAGGGCGGCGGCCGCCGCGCACAGCACCACGTTGTGCCAGACGCCGGCGCAGAGCACCCGCAGTCGGCGGAGCGGCGGCAGCGCGGAGAGCGCCTCCGAGCAGACGTCCACGAACGCGGCCGGCAGCACGAGCACCAGCAGCAGGCCGGAGCCGAACACACGCACCTGCTCACTGACCGACAGGGACGGGGGGGGGACGTGAGGGAATGGCTGACGGGAGCCGACAGCGCGTCGTGGGGGATTTACCACCGGGGACAGGCGGGCAGCGAGGACCCAAAACGAGACGCTGTAGCCGGTAGCGGCCCCCACTAGCTAACTTTTTAATGGCGCTGAATAAGGTAAATATCATCACTCAGACAGACCTATTCCTATAAAACAGCCACCGAATAAAAACTATCTGCGAAAATATCACTCTCATCGCTTCCTAGACACCTGGGGAGGACGTGCAGATGTTGATTACTTTCAGTCTTCGACCCGGAACATAAAATGGACTCGTCTGCCGAGTTCGGTAGAAGGAGGCGGCATTAATCGGTAGACAGGGCTGACGGACCTGTTAGGCGGACCTAACAAAGGCTCTCCCGCACCCCTATCAATGACGGCGCTCACCGGACGGCGGCCACGGCGTGTCCGCACTCGTGGTAGACGCTGCACACCAGCAGGGTGATGACATAGTAGGGCACGTCCTCGGCCGGCAGGTTCACGCCCGGCAGCTGACGGAGGCCAGGGGGGGGGGGCGTCAGAGAGGGGAGAGTACGGCGGGGTGATGCACCACAGCACCGGTAACGATAGGCCGGAGACGGGGCGAAACGGTATATTGAAGCATCGACTGTACTCATGGCGACCGTTGTAGTTTATGGCATAAAACTGCGGACAGTCAGTGTGCTGCATTTTCTCGAAATATGTCCCATTGTTACGTTGCTTGGATTGCTTCCGACGCCACCCTCCCTGCCCGCTCCCTCAGGACTCCGGTTCCTCTCTCCCGCTCTCTCCTGCTCCCCGCCCCACTCACCACGGGCTCCAGTACAAAGGCGGGCGGCGCCGCGGTGGCCGCCGCTCCCTCGGCGGCCGCCGGTCTCAGCAGTGAGTGTACCGTGTGCAGCAGCAGCAGCACGGAGGGCACCAGCAGCGCGCAGGTGACCCACACCCCGGCCGAGAACCAGAGCCGCGCCAGTCGGCCGCCGCCAGCGCCCCACCGCTGGAACGGCCGGTTCAGCGCGCGCGTGCTCCACTTGAGCTGCAGCGGACGGACCGTGACGCCGGAGGCCTCCAGCAGGTTCAGGTACGGCAGGTGCAGGCAGGACTGAAAACGGGGGCAGGGAGGAATGAAATCGGGGGACCGCTCACCAGTAAGCTGGAGTTGCTGCGAACTAAAGGCTACCAGTAAGATCAGTTGTTGACAAAGTGTACAGTTACAGAGCGATTTCAATCCATCAAGCTTTATTTTGATTAATCTTTCCATCATATATTCCATATCATTGTGTGTGTATCACGGTATCATTTTGATTAATAGATGCTAAGTGCGCCTCTGGATTTGCAATGATAAAATATAGCAAAACAAAGTATCTGCTCTTCAACTGAAACCATTGAACTGCCATTGCAATGGAACCCATCAGCATCTCCAAGGTGAAGGGATTTGTATACAATAAAGAAAATTAAGCATCAAGCTGGCTTACCTTGAGCACTGTGTCCGTTACATACAGCACGACATGGACCAAAACAATGACTAAAATCACCCAGTATGAAGCCATTTCCACAATTACTGATGGTACCAGTAGAACAGTGAACTAGTAGACGATAAAGCTACACTGTGTGTACCATTTGATAAATAACCTCATAATATTGCAACATAAATTGAACTACAATGCATTCTTCAGATTATGCTTCTTTCATCTTATTTATGTAGCCTTTGATGAAAAGTGGAATGGTTCAAATACAGCCTGAAAATGACAAAGTGTCATGTTTATCTTTGACTGGTATGGATATTTGACACCTGTTTGCATGAGATGTTAAAACAAGTAGGACAAGCATGGCATACTGTTGTTATTGTTGAAGAGTTAGGGCGCGCAGCAGCTTGGCTCAAGCATCCAACATACATGGCATACAAATAAGTGGCAAATTTCTAGTGATTTGGATTAAGGACATGGCCAGGGGGCCGGGGGGTGTTCACGGGCACCGCACACTGCTGCGTGCGGTGTGTGCGGTGCGTCCAGCAGGCGTGGGGGTAAAGGATGGGTAGGCGGCTCTGACGTCACGGCTGCGTGCGGTGGACGGTCCGCTGTGGCCAGTCCCGACCGGCCACAGCAGTCGCTGTGTCGGTGACTGAAGGCTGACGTAGGGACGCAGTGGGCGGAGCTTCGAGGCTGTGTGCGGTCCGACCGCACACAGGGCCCGTGAACAGCCCTCAGATGGCACTATGCCATATAGGTTAGGTACTTCAGCACTCTCATATCAATTTTGAAATTGAGAAAGTGTATTCAGAACAATTGAATGGTGGAAGGCATAAATAATCGCCACGCACTTTCAGAATGTGGATCGCTCATGATTGTTCAATACAATACAAACAAATATATGGCATAATGCAAATATAGGACGACGGTGAAAACAGGGCGCCTGGGGCGATTTGATCAAGGTTCGTGAAATTCACACGTGACGTTTAGCATCTAGAAGGCCCAAGGAGGGGGATGAGTTCCAAATATCACGTGACTAATATGCCCTCCGGCGCCCTGTTTTCACCGGCGTCCCAAATATAGGAGGATAGGAACCTACTCCCAAATTCCCTCTGTAAGAATCCACTTTGCAATCAACTAATAGGCAAGCTCAAGGGCAAGCTGATATGACTGTTCTTTCGCAATAGCAGCATATATAGCATCCGCGCCGTTTTTGAATGAACGCAGGCCTGAAATAAAAACTGTTTGAAGTAAATGACGCAATAATTCTGTGAAACAACGTTTAAAGCATAGATTGAAGTTATTGTGTCAGTTTATAGAATTATTCATACAAAAAATTGGTTAAAATACAGTTTTGATCAATTAAATGTTAATTTATTCATGTTAAAAATGTTTTTTTTATAAACGTAAGTAGACCGAAACAGCAAAATAGAGTCTCTGTCAACGCTGATTCTGCTGTTGGACAGATAGAACATTTTCTACTGGAAGCCGGCTAATGAGTGCTGACTGGTGCTGACGGAAGATGACTGTGCAGTTGCATATGTGACTTATGCCCGGTTTACGACTGGCTTTTGGAAATTATTTTCTGCCTATGCTGTCTTATATTTTCTTTCACGATGGCTGACTCAAATAAGCCATCAGCAGTTCCCATTTACATTTCAATTATCTTGTTTGTTTGCTTTGTTTACGGGATATACGATTATCTCACCGGTTTTGAAGAAAATGGCTGTGCGTTGACATACATGTATGAATACCCACAATTTGTGGTAAGTTACTTTTCTTTAAGTTGAACTTTTTGAAGGTTGAAATCAGGTTGAAATATTTTCTACGCCATGTTTCCTTTGGACGCACAGGCTGCAAGGCTGTCTTGGACCTATAAGCCATCAACAGCAACTGCGTGTCATCTGTGATTGCATTGACTGAAGGTACTTTTTGCAGTGGAACTAATCCAAGATATTTTCCATCTGAACTTGCTCAGTGCCTCATTCTCATGCAACACATGATCAAACGGTGGTCAGGATATGGTTGTGATTTCCTGGAGGATTGTGTGTAGTTCATCTTGCTCTTAGCAACATGATACTGGGCATTATGGTAACTGTGTTCGTATTACAATTCCGGGGTATATAGTTGCAGTGTTTTAATTGTCCTATTGCTTTTTTTGCAGAGAATTCAGCTGCCGCAGAACATCTCCCAGAAATATCCTCGCTACAAGCTGTATGCTTATGGCGAGGGAGTCTACACTGAGCAGCTGCGAGATGGCAAATTCAATGGTGTGCCAGTTCTCTTCATTCCTGGCAATGGAGGATCTTACAAGCAGGGTCTGTGTCTGTCTGTTTTTGTCTTCTGTGAGACTTTCTTAGCTGACATTGAAGCAGTGCTTCTGATAAAAAATGTTTTCACACACTCATGCACAACATGACCATTCTGTTGTCATTCATATCCACTAACCTCCCCACTGACCTGACCTCTCACCTCACCTCTCACTGATCTCATCACTGACCTCCCCCCCCCACTGACCTGACCTCTCACCCCACCTCTGACTGACCTCACCTCTGACTGACCTCCCCACTGACCTGACCTCTCATGACTGACCTCACCTCTGGGCTCTGACTGACCCCTCCTCTCCCCCACTGACCTCCCAGTGACCTCCTCTGACCTCTGCAGTCTGCCCTCCCCACATCACTAACCTCTGGCCTCCCGCAGCGCGCTCGCTGGCGTCGGTGGCGTACCGTCGGGCGGTCGACTCTCGTCTGCGCACCCCGCTCAACGTGTTCACGGTGGACCTGGCGGAGGACCTGGGCGCCGTCCACGGCCGGCTGCTGGCAGAACAGACCCGCTTCGTGGCCGCCTGCGTGCGGGCCGTGCTGCGGCTGTACGGCAGGGGCCCCGGGCCGCCGCCCGCCTCCGTGGCTCTGGTCGGACACTCCATGGTGAGAGGCGAGCGGATATGGCAGATCAGTTGGAACATGAGCTGTCTGGCTGGGGTTATGATACGGAGTATGTTCCGTCTCGTTTTACCCTTTACACTCGCTCTTAGCGATGCCTCGGAACATTGTCTCCGCATATCGCTTCCTGTAGCCACATCACCCCCCCCC